CACTTGAACCAGAAATGGCAAAAAGAGCATGAATGAATCACACATCAGACACGACAGTCTGAAGAGAGACAGCAGAGTCACATGCAAAAAAGACTCAGAGTAAACACATCTGTTGCTCTCCTGCCTTTTACCAAGATTCTACTTCAGTGCCTGCATGTATCCTAAAAGCACATTTCACAATCCTGACATCACAGTTTATGGAAACCGCAAAGCATGAAAACTACCCACCAAGCTGAGTTAGGAATCTTTTGGCAGAGATACAGATATGTATTGACAAGAAAAAGAATTTAACCTTATTTGGAAAAACAAGGAATTGACTCTAACTATACTTGCACTGCAATTACTGCTGCTAGAACTGAGAGAAGAAGCTTTCCAACATACATTAACATCCTAAATGAGAGAATTATGAAATACATCCTTCACAATTGAGGTCTTCCAGTTTCCAGTCTGGTATGACATTAGAAGTATTTGATAAGTATGTGGAGAAAAAGTTACTGTGTTGAAACTATTTATCATTATTTATAATGATTAAGAAACAAAACAACTAAGTAAAATATTTGAAATGCTTAAGGCTTTCCCTTTAAGGAAGTCACTCATTTCACCTTGTCCTGAAGATGAAGCTCGTCTGGGGATGAATTTGAGGCCTTTTCAGTAAGCTGTAACCAAACCTTCCACCAAAGGAGGAGCTCACACAGAGCACAGAAAGATGTGTTTTGGTTATGCTGCAATTCATCAGTCCAGCCTGGCTGCTTTCCATTGGCATTAGCAAGAGCCTAATCTGACTGAAGACTAAAGAGTTGGATCTTGCTTTTGAAGTTCATTGCTATAAATTAAATGCTTCTACTTTTCTTAATTAGTGTTTGTCAAACACATGCTTTTTAGAATATATCTTTTAGAATATATCTGAAAAGGGGAAGACTCCCTTAGGATTCACATGTAGTTTTCTGCCTTTATTTCAATAACACTTATGCTCCATTTCCTATTCCCAAAAAAATGGTGGAAATGCTGAAGAAGATAATGAAGTCACTGCTATCTTTTCAGTTCCAGTTGTTTTCTAAACTAACAATAGTTGCCTTCCTACTATAATTCAGGCCATGAAAAGGGGGAAAAAAACATAAGTTGTCTCTTTTTCCCCTCTGTTTGACACATTAATAAGAACTAAAAGAAAACCAATCAAATATCCACACAGTAATTGAGAAAAAACAGACTTATTTTGAGCAACGCAAAGCTTATCACACCTATTAGATCAACAATGCAAGTTTGCCTCCTCCTTTTAATTTACCACTTGGCCATAGATAAGACCTCGATAACTCAAAAGATGGGCCCATGTGAACCTACTGAGGCTCAACAAAGCAAAGTGCAGGGTTTTGCAGTTGGGTCAGAGTCATCACAGATGCATATACAGACTGGCAGAACTCCTGGAGAGTAGCCTTATAAACATGAGAAATCAACTTTCTCTTTACAAGGATAGATAGTGATAGGACACGGGTGAATGGCTTTAAACTAAAGGAAGGAAGATATAGATTAGATGTCAGGGGAAGTTTTTCACTGAGAGGGTGGTGATGGAACAGGGTTGCCCAGGGAGGTTTTATATGCCTCATTCCTGGAAGCGTGCAAGGCCAGGCTGGATGGGGCCATGGGCAACCTGCTCTAGTACTTCACCTAGTGGTTGGCAACCCTACTTACAGCAGGGGGGTGGAACTTGATGATCCTAGAGGTCTCTTCCAACATGAGCCATTCTATGGATCTATGAAGATGACACATAAATGAAATAGGTCAAGTAAGCCATTAAATATGAAGTACATGATTTCCAGTGACATTGCACATTTATGCTATATCAGTACTTCACAGTCCCAAATGAAATGAGTCTAGGATTGGTCTCATAAGGAGGTGATCTTTCACCCTGTCTCGAACCTTGAGTTGTGGAAAATACTACTGCTTAAGTGAACGATGCTATACCAGAGTCCTTGTTTCTGCCTGCACTCAGTAGCTGCAGTCATCACTGCACAGCAGCAGGAGCACCACAAAGGTTATTATTCCCAGGTGGAAAGGAGAATTGCTGCCTACCCTACTTTGTCTGAATGACAGCCCAATTTATAGAAGTCTGCTCACACTACAGATTTCATCACCTCAGCATCCTCTAGCACCCAGCAAAAGCATTGTCATCTAAGTGTCTCTTCAGCAATTAAAATAGTAATGGAAATAGAATGTGAAAGGCTTAAGCTTAATAAACCATTGAGTTTTACAATCAGAAAAACTGAAAATGATGACTACTAAAAGAAATCCAGAATGATGAGAGCATACTGCTCTTATTAACTAGCACATACGAGCAGACAATTGCTGCTCCAGGCAGTGAAGCACCACACTACTACTTTAAGTGTCCTCCAGCTGTCTAACAGCCTGCAGCCAGCACTCCTCACCCATTCCTTCTTTCAAAGAACATCTCTCCACTTCAGTGTTCTTCCTGCAACTGGCAGCTGCACCAGCCCTGATCTGAACTGACTACATACACACAAACTGAAAGCAAAAATAACAAACATGGGAGGAACCCTAAAAAGAGCAAACATTTATGTCACTGTAGTATAGTAGATGGCATTTAAAGTAAGCATTCAGCTCTCTACTATTCTATGATGATGCTGAAATTTAAAAAGAAAGAGATAACATTAGGCATAAAGAACAGAAAATGAAGGGGTAGCCGAGCTGTATTCAGACTAGTGAGCTATGTAATAGGGGTGCTTTACTCAATTAAAAAACTAAACAAAATAAAAAAAGCCTATGGTTGTTATTCAGCTGTCCCAGGCACGCAGCAGTTTAGTTCATCGTTTTCCCATGCATGTCCAGTTACAACACAGTAAATATATCTTCCTCCCCTCACAAAATTATATGCTAAGTTATTGTTAGCACATTTTTGCCTAGCCCAATAACAAATGAAGTAGTCCAAAATAACCACAGCTGTAAGAATGAAAGGTTTGAAACTATGTACCAAGCTAATATGGGTAGAATGTATCTGATATGGACAGAAGACTATTTTGATAATGATACTATTTTACAGGTTAACTGTTCACTTTCATAAAAGCTGATAAGAATAAGCATATCCAGTGATCTCTGTTAGCAGATGCAGGCACAACAGCAATTCTAACCATCAGAAAACAAGCCATCTTTTGCATCAACTTTCCCAAACTGTTTCATCTCAGCCTTTGCACTGAGGCTGCTCTGCCTCTGAGGTTGCAGGAGCTTAGACTTACATGGTAACTGCAAAGCATTCAATAAAAGGAGCCCGTGACCAACCCAGGAATTTGAAGGTTCGTAACTTACTGAGAGAAGGAAAAACGACAGCTTTCTTGACACATTACAAGAGGCAAGAAGGTTGTTTTTTTTTCCCCTGCCACCAATGGCTGCCAGAGGAAATCCTGAAGAAGATACAAAGGCCTCTTTTTCCACAGTGAGTAAATTCTGAGTGAGTAAATTTTACATCTATGTTTCTGCTCTGACTTGTCACATGAGGGCAGCCTCTTTTATGAAGGCCAGTAGCTTCAAGTGGGGCTTGAAGTGAAAACTGAATGCTAGTAGCACCGCAGAGCCACACAGATAAGATACCATCTCCTCCTGTTTGCATAACAGTGAGATGAAATACTATGGTCACCAGAAAAGCTGGTACAACTGTCGGACAGTTGCTTGTGAAAACAAGAGAAGGAAGAGGGCTAGAGACTGTTATGTCACGTGCACATGGTATGGAAGCATTTCATATGTCGCATATCAAACACTGGGTTGTCACATGTTCCTTATGTACAGTTTAATATTTTACCAGCAGCATACTGGTGTAGTTGTTACAGATGGTAACGCCCTCAGTGAAAATACATATTGATAATCGAATATAACAACATATTTAGACTCCTCGTGCTGACTTTGTGCTCATTCAGGCAACCTACAATTCTGAAGCACAGCCAGAGCCACGACACCTCCAGCACCACAACCAGCACGCACAGTAATCCCAGTAGCCTGCTGCCACCAAAAGGAAAAGAGCAGAATTACTGCAGATGGAAAGGCGTTACTTCTCTTACCACAGGAACTAACTCAGCAAATTCAGCTGCCATAAGGAAGAGACAAATTCGGTATTTTCATCAAGGTGAGGTCTTTGAAAGCAAAAAGATGGGAGAACCTCCGGGAGCTGATCTCCCCCAGTTTCTCAATGCTTTGAAGTCAGATGGGATAAGAGGCTGGGAAATACACAACTGAGGTGCTGCAACTCTCCAAGGCCAGCCCTCCAGGGCTTTGTTCTACCTCCTAGGAAACACCACACCAAGAATTACATTTCTCAAAAAAGTTCACATGATGTGAAAGCAGTACAGTAACATGACTGCTCCATGAAATAAATTGGGCACCTTAGAAAGGGATCAGATGATTGTAAACGTTCTGCAGAAAACTACAGTTCTACAGAAGAAATGGATCATTAAGACAGCTTTTATAAATAAACCAGGAGTATACAAAGATATGGGGGGGGGGGATAAGAGGGTGCAATTAAATACTTGTTGCTGCAGTAAATCCTGTGGTCTCTATTTCACCTCCCTGCTTTCCTCGTGCTCCAGAAATTACCAAGCTTTGCACATATGGAATGTGGGAGGGTACATGGAAGCCCTTTACCTTCACCAAGCCCTGATACAAGGAAGTGGCTGATTTACCATACTGACTTCTGATTACTACTTAGAGGACACTGAGTACCACGGAATTAAATAGTCACAAGGGCAATCAAACCTTCTGCCTCTAACCACGAACCGACAGCACACGTATATAACAGGGAAAAAACTCATCATCCCATCTAACGTAGGTGCTCACACCCCTACAAGGTCAGCAAAAGTCGATGTAAGACAGGGAGTCTTTTCCATACTGGCAATACAAAGGACCTCGGCCCTCCCTTCTGGCTGCTCGACACCGCACCCGGGTGTTAAAGACGCCCAGCCAGGGCTGCGCTCCCACTCACGGCCCCGCCCGCCCGCCGCTACCTGCAGCAGGCCGCCCATCTTGGCGCGCAGGGCGCGGAACTCCTCCGGCGCCGCCTCGGGGTAGAGCTGCCCGCGCAGCAGCTCCTCCGTGATGTCGGCCTTGCCGTAGTAGGCGGCCTGCGCGATGCCGCCCAGCAGCGCGCTCAGCGCCTTGCCGCCATCGGCCGCCGGCGGCTGCTGCTCGGCCGCCGCCATGTTGGAGGGGCGGCCCGCGCCCCAGTCCCCGCCTCGGGAAGGGATGCCGCCGCACCGCCTCACTGCGCGCCACCCGGCTGGGACGGGCCTGGGCGCTGGGGCAGCAAGCGTCTTTTGAAGCTTTAAAGCGGCTGCGGACGCAGGAGATGAACCTCGGTCAGATGGACTGTTCTGCGGGCACCCAGTTCCTGCTTCTGACCAAAATGCCAAAAACCCTTGGAAGGCAGCGTATGAACCAAAACAGAGTTCGTATTTAGTCTTCGAGAATGAGATACTAAATGAATTCATGACTTAAGAACTCAGTGTCTGCCTTCCATACTTAAGAGGGCCTGCTCAGAGCATGCAAAGCAATGGCCATGCTGCCTAAATCAGCATGTTTGCTACTGCAAAGTAGAAAAAAAAAGTGGAAGCAAGGATTTGTGATAAGCGCCTTCCAGCAGCTCTGTGCATTTTTTAATTGTGTATGCCTTATCTGAACAGGCAAGCAGAAAAAATACAACTCCCCAGACTGAATCTCCACTGATTTTTGAGTGCAGAAACTGGTTGGGATAAAAGGAAGCAGGGAAGGCAGAGGAAAGAGAAGAGCAGGCAACATATGCTGCCTGAACTGCAGAACTGCTATGCACGGCCCCCTACCACTAGCTACAGGCAACAGTTCACACAAGGGTGGCTCTACCCCTCAGAACTCTTCCTTGCAATCTCGTCATAGGAAAAAGCAGCTTTGCTGGGGTGATGATCTGGTACAGCCTTGAACAGCATACTGCTCATGAGCTGCAACCCTGACAGGGAATCAGCAGTAGCCCAGGTCACTTTACACAACAGCCTTTTGCTGCTCAGAACTGCTATAATCACTTTCCCACTTCTTCTGGGCAGTAGCAACAACTTCTGGCTATAAAGATGTGGAGAAAGGGATACATTCCCTACAGATTTCCCCAGAACAATCAGAAATGTGTGTTTTTTCCCCAAGGAAAAAGAATGTTCCTGATACTGCCTAAAATATAAAAGCAATTCACTTACTCCTGCTGACTCTCGGAGTTTCAGACTATCTTCTTTCTTCTACATAGGACTGAGTCTGTATTAAGTCACTGAAGCTCCCTGCCAGTTGACTTTACCACGTAGAAGCAGCACTACAACATCCACCCATGCTGATCCAGCAGCTTCAGCCTGAAGTTGAAGATCTATTTTAATTGAATGGTTAAAGAAAGTAAACACTTCCCAGCCCTTGTATCTGCTGGGATGCAGTTCTATTCACCAGGATGCCAGTAAGCTGTGCAGCTGCTCCCCCTCTCTTCTCCCACTTCATGACTACATCCATTTTGTCCTTAGAAGGAAAAACTTGAATCAAAACAGCTCTGGCTCGATCACAACTACTGAGAAGATAACTTCTGCCACTGAGGCACAAAGGTGAGAAGCGCTGACAGGGAACCAAGTGCACTTTGCACACCACAGCACTAGTGCAGACATTCGGGCTCACTCAGACAAACATTCCTCAAGCAAATGAGCGCTACTAAGAGTAATCAGGATTACTGCTTCAGGTCACCTCACCAGGAGATAACCTTCAATTCCTTACCATGGTATCATATTCTGTAAGCCAGGCATAAACAGAACTAAGAAAAAAAAGGTTTTGTTTAGTTGATTTTATTGTTACATATTGATAACACATTGACACAGCTGATATCAGAGCAAACCCTTATGGGACAACTAAGTGCCACAAAGCACGTTATAGAACTGAAGATCAGTGTGAAGCAGCACAACATCTGGTTTAAAAAAAAAAAAGTCAGATGTCATGAAACCGTGTATTATTAGACTTCACTTAAAGAATCTTGAGAGGCCAAGAGATCACAAGCTTCCCAAAGCACAAGAAAAGCTATGTGCAGCTCCTCGGTCGTCCCATCAGAACTAACCCCACAAGGGACTCTTTGCAAATTCAGTGTTTCAATGTTCTACGTATTTTATGTTCTTCATTGTAAGAGAGCACAGAAAGCTGATCTATTCTACACACACATATACTGCTTCACTCTTTTGGGGCAAAATTACAATCACATTTTCCTATAGCTTTTAACAGCTATTTCAACCAGAATATATACACATGTATACAAAATGCCAAAATTAGGGCTTAAAGCAATTTCAGAGAAGTTTCCCAGTTCAGCTGTTTGTGCTCTTTATTTCAAAATCCAAAGTGCCAAATACAAGTAGCAAGAGTTTCCACTATTGCAATCTAACAAAAAAAAAAAAAAAAAAAAAAAGATGGGGATGAAGAACGATCCCACTTATCCATGGGAATTTGGAGAAATCATTTAAAGACACTTGAATTCATTTCAGAGGGCAGGAGTACATTTACAGTAGTAGCTGCACAGCTCATGTGGCCATATTTTCCAAATTAATTTTTAAACTGTCATTAGCAGGAACTGAGTGTACAGCTGTTGACAATTTAACATAACTCAGAAACAGACAACTGCACTGATACCAAATTTCTTAATGCATAATCATATTTGAAAAATATACAAAAGCCAAAGTTATTACAGGAAATTAAAACCCAGTTTTAAAAAGTGCACAGTAAAAACTGAAGGTAATTACAAACTATCCACAGAGTGTACGTGTCCTGGTTTAGAGACAACACCAAGTTCTATCTGTTGGAAGTGCTAAATATTTTAAAGCCATGTACAGCACCAAATCAGTTCACATGAGACCCAACACCACCCTGCTTTCCGTAACAAGAGGCACCAGACAGTATCTGCACTCTCTTCAGCAGCAGCCTCCACAGACAGCTGATGAGCTGGGAGCTATCGGGTTTTGTTCTTTTTAGAGTTTCCCTGCAACAAGAAGCAACCAGTGAATACAATATATAATTCACTAAGAACACCTACACAGGAATCGTACGACCCAGGCTCTGATAATTTATGCCTACAGCAAGCAAAGGAGCACTGTAAAGCTGAAGATAAGCAGTACTGCTTCAAGTGCTTGCTCTGAAAATCCCTCTGTGCTTACAGGCATAACACAGGAAAGTACCAGAGCTTTCAAACAAGCACAAGAGCACCTTAATTTAATTGAAAATTATGAAAAAGACATTGAGTTGCATCCCACAACACTCAACTGTATTAGCACCATTTATATTGCAAAGCAGACTGAAGGCAGGTCCAGTCCTAATTTGACCCAGAGTGGTACTTCAAATATAAACCTTAGAGAATCAACGAGGCAATCGTCCTTCACCCTAACGTTTTGTCCCAAATCAAATTTAGCTTTAGCTTGGATTAAACATTTGTACTTGAGAAAAGGATTTGTTTTACAACTTTCTTACATCTGATTTCCAACAACTCTACAATGCAAACATACAGCTTAAAAAAAAAAAAAAAAAAAAAAAAGCACAGTAGTTTCTTTTTTACTCTTTCCTTAAAATAACATTTGTTTTTAAACCTAACCAACAAATCTGTTCAAATGATAATGGCTTTAAGCTATATCACTTTCAATTGAGTTGTTTTCTATGCTTGGTAGCATCTGAAGTATAAAAACAAGTGTCTATTATTGGGAGATTAAAAGTCACTTCCTAAAAGACAGCGTGTCCTTTCAAGTTTTGAAATTATGAGAAGTGAAAAATCCACAAAGCATTTTATTTTTTGTATGTTTTCATGTTTTATAACAACATGAAATGCTATGATCCGTGTGCAGCTACGAGCTCATACACCAAGAAATAGTCCTGAAGAGCCTGGTCAACTTCAAAGTTTAGATATCTGAAGAACTTGAAAGAATAAAGAAGATAAAAATCACAGTAAAGGAGCTCTAATCTAAACATAGATTTCTCTTCCCCTCGCTGAAACCTGCTTCCCTGCATTCCACAATTAAGGAGGATTATTCATTTCATAACAAAACGAATGAAAGATAAAGACCTTCACAATGTATATTCCTTCCCAGAACCCCCAGGACAGGATATACCATGGTGTAAGCACCCTCTGTTCTATACAGCAGACTTCCACTTTTTTCATCACTAAGGTACATTGGAAAACCTTGCCTCTGGGTAAATGGATGGTTCCCTGCTTGGAAAAAGCTCAAGTGTGGTTTAAGAAAGTTCACAGAATGAAGCAAGTTTTTTATTCCTACATGAAAGAAACAGACAACCTAGACTATGGAAATAAAACAGGGCAGGAAGAAAATTGCCAAGAACCAAGTAACTGCAACTAGGATAAGAGCACAGGACAACGTGCATGACCAGACTTGGAGTTTTCTTTCCAGCTGGCCCAAAATAGAAACCACAGCTTGTGGATTGATTTGTGAAAGGGTATTACTGCAGCCATGGCAAAGGTAAACACAGAGCTCCCAACTACAGCCAGCATCTAGTGTCAACACTTGGCAACTGACCTTACTAGTCATCTTTAGTGTGTCAATTTCTTCCCTTTGTTTAGTTAGAGTCTCATTCATACTGCAGAGATGGTCACTCATCATACTTAACTGATCCTCATAACTTCTCTTTGTCGTCATCAACTCATCCTAGGGGGAAAAAGAAAAAAAAGTCAGCAGTTTGAAGCCTTTGTTCAATGTAAGAAAATGGCTGCTTTGCCAGTTGGTCCCATCTCTGCCGGAAGGTAAATGCAACTAAACCACACCACTGAAAAATATCACAAAAAGCCCATAGGTCCCCTTTTACCTGAAGACTCGTGTATTGTCTGTCACCCTTAATTTTGATTGGTTTCCTTAATAATTTTCCCAACTCTTTATAGCTTACATGAAAGTTGAACAGCTACATTTTCCAATATCACTTCTAGCCAAGTAACAAGTAAAATCTACAGGGTTAAAACACCACATGTACATGAACAAGCGTGGTAGATGAAGCTCAAGGAGTCAGCAACCCATATACATTTGCAGTGTGACTGTGCCTCTAGAATTAGAGATATGGAAAACCTGTGCACTACTAGAAGATAGCAATGACTAGATACAGACCTTAGATACAGACAGGATAGGAAGGGGAGGAGTCGCACTCAATACAAATGCGTGGTTTAAACACACGATGTTATAACTGGTACCTGTGTATTTAAGTAATCTTCCCCTCACAGAGGGAAATAAGGCTAAAACAATCCTGTGCTTACACGTACAGAAAACACATTTTTATAAAGCAGCCTTGACAGTGGGCTAAAAACACAGGCTTGGCCACTACAACCATTTCCTTGCAAGGATCTTCCACTTCAAGGGTGTTATTTCCATCTAGTCTCCACATACCTCTATTTCTTACACCATATTACTAAGGACCGAAAAAGCACAACTGCAGCTTAAAGGTTTCTTCACCTTCCCCTTATACACAATTACCTTAACAAGCACATCTATTGCATCACTTATCATCTTACTTGCCTGTAATCTACTGATGCTTTGACTAGCCAGTTTCAACTCTTCTGTGAGTGATTCCTTGGACTTCTCTGCTAAAGACAGTCTTTTGGCAAGTGCTCGACACTGGCAGTTAGAGCAGCATAGGGAAGACAGAAGGGAAGAAAGTTAGTTCCAAAGTGTTATATTGTGCCATCTTTAACTAAATGCTTCGAGTCTTTCCATCTTTTTGTAATCCTCAGATATCCAGAAACTTACTCAGAATCTGCGCAGTTTTAAATACAAAGATAGTGAAATAATTAACAGTAAACTTGTTTTTATTTTACAGATTTTCCATATTATTAAGTGTTCTGTTTTCATCCCATTACCGCCAGGAAATATTTCATAGAAAGCAACACAAACATCTCACTTTGTACATTATTCAAGTATCATACAAAGATGGCTTACTATGTCATCCACTATCAAAAATTAATTTTTAAAAGTTGCTGTTAATCCCACAAGAAATATTCATTATGTACAAGAATTACTTCTTGACCTAAAGTGAAAAGAGGAAGCTAAAGAGACCATGAATTATTTTATTAATTCTTAATATCTTTATATCAACAGACCAATACACAATACACATTTTAATTCTTAAGCTTTTTTAGCCTTACTGGGTGACATTTTTCCTCCTGTTGTTTAAAGTCTTTCTATAACATTCATTTTATGCATACCACAGACCACAGCCAAAAAATGTACTGCAGAAACACATTTTTCCTGGAATACATACCATAGATTTAACACTTGCTCATGGAAAATTCAGAAGGGGATTTACTGTTTTCAGTAGAAACAACTGTATTCTCACCTCTGCATGAAAGTGTACTGATTTGCTGTCAGCAAGCTGTAGATGGGATGTAAGTTCTGCTATTCTTGCCATATAGTGTTTTTTAATCAAGTCTTCACGAGATTCAACATCTGGAATCTTATAAATATAAATTACTGTTTAATTTTTTGTTTTAATAGACTGAATACTTACACAACAACACTGTCCTCTATACTGAATCCCCTTCTGTACTGAGGCCTCCCAGTCATATCCAAAAGCATTTATTTCCCCAGATCACAACAAATTACAGGAGGTCAGCTGACATCAGCTCATACTTCCTTTAAGGACCAAGGATGCAAGAGGTTTGCTTAATTTAAGATATGAAGTCTGATGATGAACCCACTGCAAAAGCTCATTCTACCAAATTCAAGCAATCCAAACACTTTTCTCTTTAAGGAATAATTCTTCTGCATAACTAAATTTCAGAAGCTACTAAACTGTAAGAACTACAACTAATGTCGCAAGCTCTATAAGATCATTTAAGATATATTTTTGTTTTGTTGTTGATATTTTGTCTAAGCTGCTCCTATGTTTCTTTGAGAACAACTTCTGGTTTGGAATAGCCTGTACTTATGCGTTAAATACAGGGCACTTGAGCCAGCAACTTCCACTGTCCCCAGCCTCAACCCCTTTCTCAGGGATTAAGAATTGAGGCTTTGAATCCACTTCTGGTTTCTAAATACAAAAAGCAAGACCCTCCTTCAGGTACAGAGCACAGATCTGGACGAGCTTGCACTGCTCCAAACTGCTAGCACGAATAACAGCTACAATTCATGACACAGAAGAATATTTAAAAGACACACAAAAACTAACAGAAATATCATTTTAGAAACCTGAAAATACAGTACACAAACTACCTGAGTGACTTATGTCATTCTACTGTTATTTTTAATAGTTAATTACACCTTTAGAATAACACTGAGTTTTAAATTTTTACTAGATACATTTTGATAACATTTAAAAGAGATTACCTTCTCGTTATCAGTAGTTATAGTCAACATCCCAATCTAAAACAAGGAAGACAATATGCATGAAGTGAAAACTGCAAAAACAGACATCAGTCATAAAAGGACTTCAGTCAAAAACAAGTTCTTGTGACAGTTAGAATTAAGTTTAAGCATCTCTACCTGCAACATAAGCAAGAGTGGTGCAATGAATGCCCTGAATAGATCTTAAGGCGACACCAACTCTCCAAATACGAAATATCCCTTCTACACGTTAGGAGGTTACAGGGTAACAGCAATGAAATCAAACAAGATCTAGTTAGCTTACCTGATTATAGCTCCTATATTATACACACATGAAAATTAGTGCTTCCATGTATTGAGATGTCTCTTAATTACCCAGCTTCAAGAGCAAGGAAATCCACCTTGCATTTCTTGAGTACCTTCTGAATTCTTTTCTCTGCAGTTTGATTAATAAATTATTGGCAGCTCAGTTTCACATACTCACAAAACTCCAGCTGAGATGTATGTGAATAACAAGTTTCACATCTGGCCCTTTACAAAGACATTCTTACATGTTTTCCTTGACCCAAACAGGACTACAGATTTATGTCTATGGGCAATGTTCACATGGTTTACTGAGCTACCAGTTACGGGAAGCACCAACCAGAAAAAGATGTTCTCCTTAAACTCCTAAAGGATTAAACTCCAAAACTTAACATGACAGTTTATTTCAAAACTGGTTGGCCATGATGACCTTAAAGATCAAATCTTTTCCAACCTAAATGATCCTATGAAAACAACTCGTTAGTATTTTTGTGGGCTATTATTTACCAACATACAAAGACAAGACAGAATATATGCCATATCCAAAAGCACTGTTGAACCCAAGCTCTAAGAACTCAGGAAAGTTATGCAAAATTAATGATGCAGTGAATACTGGAAACTTGAATGGCTTCAAGTCCAAATTAAATTATACTACACTGACCTGTTCTTTCTTAATCCACTTAAGAATACTTATCACCTATTTCTGTTTGCTTTCACACACCTGCAAAGGAAGAAGTCCTGGAAACTCAGAGCCAACCTAAGATATATATACTCCTCACAAGGCTTCCTAGCTGTAGTCAGAAGAGTCAACAAGTCAAGCACTTATTATTTCCCCCTCAGCCAATCAAGTACAGAACTACATAAAAGTTTCTATTAATATCAAGATACTGAACAAAGTCTCGGAAGTCAAGTTCCAAACACTGAGGAGAGTATCAGCAAACAGCTTTGCAAATCAGGAGCTTAAGCATGACTGCATTTCAACATCAAAAAACTTTCAATATTAACGTTCCATTGATCAAGTAGTGCTGTTGTCAACTGCCATGTTTTTTTCCATTGAAGTAAGAAGTCACTTACCAGACTTGTACTTTTGATAGGTTCCCTCTGACTCTTCTCTGTGGTTTCCTCCTTTTGTTCAGCTATATTTGATAAAACAGAACACTCTTGTACAGTTTCAGCTAATTGTCCACTAAGAGAGTTCTTCAGCTTTTGGTTTTCCTTCTCCAGTTTTATTTTTGCTAGCTGGGCCTCCAACATCCAGTGCTCTTTCTCTTGTTCAAGTTTTGCAATTTTCTCCAAACTCTGTTGGACCTTTTGGATGGAAGTTCACAGTGCATCTTACTGAACATAGGAAGAAATACCCTCCAGGAGATGTTTGAAGACGGTACTATTTTAAACTATTATACAGGTGAGTTAGTAAGTAGTAGGCTGCTATCTGTAGGCTTAAGTGTGGTCATGTATCACAAATGACTCATCTAGTCAATGAGTCTGAAATAAGGGTTACCAGTTACTGCTCAAAGAGCCAAGGACAAATTAGATGAAAATCAGAGCAGGCAGAGGTTAGAAGAAAAACAGGAAAGTTTAAAAGATGTTTGCAGATAACAAAGCAATGCTGGTGCCAGGCACACAAGTGAAACACAATCCTTCCCTTCCCAGACATTCCACTGACACATACAGAAAACCCCAGCTTGTCCAAGTAAGGAAAGCTAAGGAACATTATATAACCTATCCCTCCACACATTTCTATTTGAAGTCATCTCATCTCAACTAATATGGTCTGAATTGGTTATTACAAAAAACACCAAAGTCTTTCTTCCGTAGAAGTTAAAGGTCATAAGCACAGCAAGAACATTGAAGCTAATAGCTAAGTTTTAATCAGTACATCAGTCAGTCTCACTGAGAGATGGACAGACTGCACAGGCCTTTTAAACACCACTTAATCCCCCTTTGCCTCACCTTCCAGAAAGAAAACAAACACATACTTAAAGAATGATGGGAATAAGACCTATTTAACATACTCTAAGAAAGTTGTTGCTATAAACAACTTCTGCGTAGTCCAAGAAAACCCACTCAAAACAGTACATAATATTAAAACAGTTTGTACTCTTTTACTTCCAGAACTGTAAATAAGATATCTAGAGTCTTATTTTAAGACTCAGAATTTCTATTTATGTACAAAGCTACACACAGATTGATGACTGAATACTACTTTGCCTTTATAAATACATTACTAGGTATTAGTAAAATGTATATGAGGATACCTGTTGTGCGAGACCTTCTCTACTTTCTGTGGAACTCAGAAGGACTCTGCGATTGGCCAAAGCTTCTTCATAAGGCACTGAATCTGCACAAGGCTGCAGAAGAATAGGAAAAAAAAAAATCAAAATGTTTGACAGTAAACCAGAATAAGTGTTCTACATTTATTTTCTTCTTATCCTCGTTACTTTACTAGAGGGAAGAAAAACATTTCTCCAGGTGTTTACCATCAGTAGAAAAAAGTTCCAACTTAAAAAAATCCATCTACTCTCCATCAAAATGCACACCTAATTAAAAGGTGCTAAGAAAACTATGTGCTACTTAGTGATCAAAAGTATCTTTAGGTCCACTTGACAGACATCAGAACATCAAAGGGGAGCGATGATAACCCTTAAGTACACCTATATCACAACTTAGTTTTTAATTTTAATAGGAACTGCAGGAGATTTGGTAATGTTCAGTCTTTTAGTTCAGCATATTTTCTCTATCATACTTATTTCCTAACATCTGGTTTCTTCTTCATTTGATCTCAACTGTCTTCAGTGAATGCAAATATAAAAATGATGCCACTCAATTCACATTCTTGGCAAACATGGGAGGCAGGTTAAATCAGTAAAAAAGATCAGCTCAGGACCCTCCTCAATACAGAAGTTACTCATGGAAATGGGTAACAGCAGAACCAACACATACTGTCAGTTCTGAGAGCAACTATGCTCTCAGATTTCTTCAATACCATTATTTCTCTATTTCTCTATTTTCTCATTGAGAAAAATGCTTTCCAAATACTGGAAGCCATTGATTTGTATTCTCTTTGTTACAACTGAAGAGCAAGCTAATTATCTCTATGCAAGCACATGAACTGAACAAACCTTCTTCAGAGTCTTCATATAGGCAACTGCCTTTTTCTTGTACTGCAGCATACACTCTGCTGAAAGAGGGCTGATGAACTCTGTTCCTCCTTTTGGGCCATAGCTCAACGAAGAAGTGAAGTGATCCAAGTTGTTGCTAAAGAACGAAGCAATCTAGACATACCAAGAGAAGTCACTTTCTAAATTAAGCTGAACAGAATGAGTTGTCAGAGCAGTTACATGTTTAAGTGAGGGAAAAGCACTTAGTGAAGCTGGACTTCACAAAGCTCAGACGTCACTAAGGCAAAACATCCTTTTCAAGGTACCTACTATCATCACCTATTGTTTTTAATGTACAGCACAAAAATACCTTAGAATAAGTCTGAATATAGGTAGGAGTACTGAAGACACATTTACATTTCTCAAATCATTCTTTTTTATTAAAGAAAGAAAATGCTCAAGTTATGGCATTATATTTAGACAAAGTTTCCATTACCTTGCCTATTCCATTTGTTAAAGACAAAATGGAGGACAAAATACAGTCATTTGTAGTTATGAGCTTCTGTGTGGCAGTTGGAACATCTTGTTCTAGTGTAGCTTTTTGACTGTAGTGCTTGGAAATGTCTAGAAAAATAAAAACATTGATATCATTTATGTTTTTGTCTATTTAAGTGATCATTTCCAACTTCAGCTTGTGACACTGAAATTTGAATACTTCTACCCTCCTTGAGTTGAATAAATGTTTAGTCTGGGTACTCTTAGTTATTCCATAGATTGCCATAGATGGTTGTTCATGATCAGAATAGACATTGTATCACAGAAGGGAGAAGAAAGAGACATATTTAAGTGTGCTCTGTCCCAAAAACCATAATTAAACAGGGAAGACAAGCTCCCACTGAACTCGCACTTTGTTCCAAAGTATATTTTCCACTTCCACATACTTATATCAGGACACTAGAGACAGACATTAAACATTACTAACAATCAGTCCAAAGCTTATAGAACTTAAAAGGGTAGGGTATTAAAATTGCCAAGGCCAAATCTAGAAGGCTACGAAAACTACACAGCACAGCAAGAGGTATTCTAAATTTCTTTCAGGCAAAATTAACAGAATTGTCTTCTGAGGGTGGGGGAACAAACAAAGAACATCACCACCACCACACAGAGAACTTTCTGAAAGTAATTTACAAAGAAGCATTAGTTTCACAAGTGAATGTTTCACAGGTACAAAAATGAGAAATCTCAGGTCTTTATCACCACAAGTTGTAACCTGATGCAAGCTTAAGGAATTGGAGTTACATTTGGGTTAGGGAAGGTAGAGAGAAACTACAGATCAATAATTCTCTTACGCGGGAGTCTGAGGTGTTGCAATGTTTCCATTGCTAACTAATGAGTTCTGAACTTTTCTTCAGACTTTCTCAGTCTTTACTTCTTTTGTTAAGTACAACTTACGCTGATGTTATGTTAGAGAAACCATAACAAGAGGCAGAAGGCACACATCAAACTTACCTATGCTCAGTGCTGCCTGGTTTAGTAATTCACTGTGTTTGACCTACAAATCTCTAACGTAATCATTTAGTTAAACCAAAGATTCTATAAAATTAGGTAGTACTATTGGCATTATTACTAACAGATTAAAAAAACCAAAGTATCTTGTTTAAATTGAGACCTTAATGTTTACAGCTGACTGGTACCAAACCAGTTCAACTACAGCAATTACTCTCCCCAAAACAGCGACACAGGAACAGATGTTACAGGATACATAGACACATTATTGCTTTAAAACTCCTTGAGTGTTAACCAAACAGTACTTCATTAGAAATGCAACATATCCACATTCTTTATACATAAGGAGAATCAGTCATTTAGAAGGAAGAAGTTCTGTTTTAATTTTGAAACCAACTCCCTCATCATCTCTGGTCATACAATCATATTTAAAAAAAAAAGTGTAATCAACTTGAAATCTAAGAAAACTTCCCTTTTGATGATAGTGTCAGGTCAACATTATATAAACAGGGAATGCATACACATAACATTCCATTCTGTATATGTTTAATTACAGCAATACAGTTCAGAAACTAAGGTGCAACAGCTCACAAATAGTCTAGAGTGTCACAGTTTAATCTTCCAGAAACTTAGAAGAACTAAACTAATAGAACAGAGTACCATAAAACATTTGTGGGTGACAAAAACTCAGCAGGTTTGGTGTCAATCTATATAGGCAAAACAGATCAGATTTACTATGTATCACACATTTAACATTGTAACAGAGAAAGTTGATGTTTGCTGTGTTGAAAGACTAAGGATGAAAACTGAAACCTACTACTACTCACGTAGCCTCACCTTTCAGGATGTCATGAGACGCATGAAGGCTTGCAGCAATGTTTGTAAACACCAAGCTGTAATTTGTTCTAAGTAGTCCTTCTGGTTTCGTACCTAAAAGTACCACGAAAAAGGAAAAAAAAGTTAGAACTCTATCATTAATGAAAACATTAACTCTAAAAATCTAAGACCGGTTTCTCCTAGCCTCAAAGCAACTGAGCCCAAGCTGGCACTTACTTGGTAAAGCAAGAAGACTAACGTATGTATGTAGCTTCTCAAAGATCGCCGTCAACCTTTTCATGTCTCTGTGTAGCTCCATATTTCTAGCTTTTAAAGCAGCTGTGCAAAGAGAAGACTCACACTCTTCTTCCAAACTAGGAATATGATTTTTAAACACACAAAAACACAAATGAGCAAATCTCTTACATAAGAATTTCAGGATCTTGGGGATAGATAGGTAGTTCTTTCTACATTGCCATTCCAAAGAAGCAATGAAGAGGTTATTTTAGAAAGGCTAACTTATTGGAGTTACACAGCATAGTTACAAAGAAATTATAAAAGCCTTTTTCTTAACCCAAATCCTCTTTCTAAGTCTTCTTTTGCACTGACAAAGTACCTCCCTTTGACCAACTCAGGAGCACACATTTTCACTACAGAAGGGATGTGCATCCAACAGTTTTGCTACACATGCAGATCAACAAAATCTTCAGACAGGCCCAAGAAATTAACAGTTCCAGTGTATAATATCTGCATAGTATCAATACTATTGAGTAATACAATTAAGCATTAAAGTCTGTACAGTTTTTATTAAAGCCACATCTTCAAGGGGAGAAGTTTTAAAATATAGTGGTTCAGTTCTAATGCCCACTGGAAAAAAAGGCAAAAAAAAAAAAAAGCATAACAAAGGGTCAAGAAACAGTATGCAAAGAAAATTTCTGCCTTTAATCTAAGGTGCTTTAAGGTTTGAGTTAATATTTGAGTTGTAGACATCGTCAATGTTGCAAATCTGACAGTGCCCCTTCAATGTGATCTATTAAACAAGTTTAAAAAGTACCTTTTTAACTGATAAGGAAGAATCTTTCTTAAAAAGCATAAGTATGAAGCTAAATGTTCTGAAAAGGCCTTCAATTTCACAGCTGTTTCCTGGAAAGAAAAACAGTGTAAGTATTTCTGCTCTGTTAAAGTCTTTTTTAATACTAAAAGTAAGAAATCTTACCAGGACTGTCACTGTATCTTCTGTAATACTCTCAAACAACTGAAGCATTCCTTCCTCCAGAGGGCGAACATAAAAAGCATTTTCATGAAGATACTGTGAGAACTGAGTACAGAGAGATATTTGAGATGGTGCTTGCTGAAGACTCTCAAACTGTTTCATATTTAACAACAGAAAAGTCAATTTGAACACAGTATCTATCACTTTAAATGATCCCCAAGACATCAATAATAAAATTAAGTGATGTACAGCCCCCTCCTCCACATGACACACAGACATACACCTTGAGGGAAAGCAAAGACAGTAATGGAAATCCAGGCAAACCCCTCTCATGTACTGCTCTGTCACAGCACCTTATCTACCTATACCTGTCATGCACAGTACACCTGGGTTTTTGACTGTAAAAAACTTTGTGTTACTTGCTCAACTACATCAAATTAAGGCTAGGTCCATGCACTCAGTAGGTCACCAAAACAAGCTGTGCCACCTTCCTCTCACCTACTGTTTTATCAGCCTTTGTGCTATTAATCAGCACAAACATTTCAACAGTTCTGCTGTGCAAAGTAGTGAAGAACTGAACTGAGTTAGAACTGACAGCAAGAGAAATGTATATATTTTATGTTCTCAGTCCAGTCCTCCATGTGGGCAAAAGTATGCTTATGCCAGTGTAAAGGATGGAGGGGTAACTGAGCAAAGTAGGAAAGGCTGCTGTCAGCAAATGTGACAGTTAAGAGAAATCCTGAAACTCTGGCTTCATTGCACTGCCCATCTTTCCTAAAATATGCTTAAATAAATTTTATAGCTAATTTATCCTCCAACAAAGTATGCCACAGAACAGAAGTATTCACTCAACCTCTTCAAAATAAACACTGGCAGTACTCTCAGGTTTAAAAAGTTTAGCAATGTAGAGATACGTATCACAGCACTAAAGAACCTTTTCTGCAATCGATACTGGCGACCACAATTCACCCCACAGAAAGATACTTTCATCTTTAGTTATTTATACTACAACAGCAAGTAAAGATCCCAGGCAAACAGGGTACAAGAAATTTTTCTTATTATTATTATTATGCTGCAGTAACACAGTGTTAACAAGAAGAGATGCCAAGCTCTTATGCATGCACAAATCTGGATGGAATTATGGTCAGTTCTTAAATCTAAGGAAAAAAGAGCAGCATGCAGAAAGCTCCTGCCTCGTGTTGCAAGGAAAAAGACTGGAATTATCTGGCAAGATGCTGAAGCCCCAGCAGAAACCAGCAATCCAATGCTTAAGGAGAAAAGGAATACTTGAACCTGGAAAGGAATTGTCCACATCTATTTTGAGTGTCTGGTGGGGAAAATAGCTTGAAAACGCCAGACAAGACCTGGAGTTGGGGAAAAACAGATCAGCGCAAGTGTGCTAAGTCACTGCATGATACTTGTTTCATTTTCTGCCTTTAGAAAGGCTTCTGAAGCACTCGGCGCAGAAGCTAAGGCCACACTGAGAGTATCTGCTAAGCAACTAGGCGTGTTAATTGAAGACACAGGAGCAACAGCAGCTTCAGTGACTGACAAAGTAGACTTTGTTGCTGTGCAATCATCACAAAAGCTGTGAGGTAGGATGCACTAAAGCATTTAGGTCACAAACATACAAGAAGAAAGGTAGGCTACAAGAGAATTCACGATGACAAAACCTAAACAACTATCCAGAGAGAAGAATCAGAGTTGGGAATAAGTTGCACCTTTCAGCTGTGTGAAAGCACTTTTATCTGCTGAAAAACAAAGAACTGCTGATTAGGACATTAAGACAAAAACATACATGAGAAATGATGTCTACGAAAGCCAATTTATCTGACCAGAGCAAACACCAGTTATGTCTGTGGAATGCAATCACCACACTAGGCCACATAAACAAGGAGACTCAGTTTCTGCCCCAAAGAACTTGGAAGATAACAAAACTACAGTTTTTAAAAAAAGGATGTGTCATTCAGAGTATTATTAGTGAAGCAAGAATATACTATTCTCAAACAAAGATCAATGTTGAACCTCTGGGAAAGCTTATTCTTTATTATATACATAGAAGGATTGAGAAAGTAAATTGAATAGGATTTCTCTAGCTGATAAATATCCACAAAAGCATATTCGTTGCCTGTTAGGAGATTAATGAAGGTCCTTCACAGAACAGTCCTTAACAGAAATGTTTTGCCACAGTTTACGTTTGCTTCTACAGGTGTTATACAGCCATTCAACGAAAGAGATGAACAAGACTTCAAAGTCTGAGCCATACAAACTACTAAGCTGAAATCACAGAACACTGGGTCATCTAGCAACTTTAATGCATGTTCATCTGCTGATGCTACTTAGTCAACAACTCAGATGTTAAAGCAGTTTTATTCCAAAGCATATATACATGGACCTCCTGCACAAATATTTGTGCACAAAATTATCATCTGTGCTTCATGACATAAAACCTCAAAAGATGCAACTTGAGAACTCTGGAAGATATCCCTATGAAGTCACCCCATTGAGTTATGAAAGAAGTCAGGTCAGATTTCTCAATGTCAACGTACTTCAGGTCATTGCAGAATCACATAATGGCCTGAAAAGGACCGCAATGGTCATCTAATTTCAACCCCCTGCTATGTGCAGGGTCGCCAACCAGCAGACCAGGCTGCCCAGAGCCACATCCAGCCTGGCCTTGAATACCTCCAGGGATGGAGCATCCACAACCTCCTTGGGCAGCCTGTTCCAGTACTTCACCACCCTCTGTGTGAAAAACTTCCTGCTAATATCTAACCTAAATTTCCCCTGTCTCAGTTTAAAACCATTCCCCCTTGTCCTATCACTATCCACACTCATAAACAACTGCTCCCCCTCCTGTTTATAAGCTCCCTCAAGTGCTGGAAGGCCACAATGAGGTCTTCCCAGAGCCTTCTCTTCTCCAAGCTAAACAAGTCTAGGTCCCTCAATCTTTCCTCACAGGAGAGGTGCTCCAGCTCTCTGATCATCTCAGTGGCCCTCCTCCTCCATGAGCTCTACCCCCTTCCTTTACTGGGGGCCCCAGGCCTGGATGCAGCACTGCAGATGGGGCCTCACAAGAGCAGAGTAGATGGGGACAATCACCTCCCTCTCCCTCTGGCCACCCCTTTTTAAATGCAGCCCAGAACACAGCTGGCCTGCTGGGCTGCAAGCGCACACTGCTGGCCCATGTCCAGCTTCTCATCCACCAGGACCCCCAAGTCCTTCTCCGCAGGGCTGCTCTCAAGGAATCTTCCCCCAGTTTGTATAAAAACCTGGGATGGCCCCAACCCAAGTGCAGCACCCTGCACTTGGCATTATTGAACCTCATTAGGTTTTCATGGGCCCACTTCTCCAGCCTGTTCAGATCCCTCTGGGTGGCTTCCTCTCTTTCTAATGTATTGACAGCACCGCTCAGCTCAGTGACTTGAAGCTTCAGAACACTTACAAGAGAGCTCTTCACACAGGCAGCCCAAAATAAATTATTTGACAAGTGAACAGTCTCCTTCATAAACCTAGCTTACATCCAGTTTATTTCATGGTGTAGTTACACCATATTCCATATGTGTTTTACAACATATTCCATACCCCAGTACATTTTCCTACTACTTGTCCAGCTAAGACAAGCATCCAGGTAGCAGTGCAATATTTAAATAATCAGCTCAACTCTTCAACAATGCACTTCCATTTAACGTTTCTAAAGCAAAACTAAGATTTGATGACCATGCTGCTGGTCTCCATGGTGTTATTTTAACAGAGGCATAGAGAGAAAGGAATCTTTGCACCCACCCCTTTGCACATGGACAATCCACCCAGCAGAAAAGACCTCCCATGCAAGAGAGCTTGCCTCTCAGGAACACATTTACAACCTTCCAGTAAAGGTGGCAGAAGTTTCCATCTGTGATTATTCACTCATGAAAGTCGACATAACTGAATATACGTACAGCTGTAATCAGAAAATTTTACCTTCTGATTTAATGGTGATATAGTGTCTGTTGCAGAATCAATGGGAAAGATCTGGACCTTCTGCTCAGTATACGTATGAAAATTCAGAAGAGCTGTTACAATTTCTTGCACAAAAGACAATGCCTGGCCAGCAAGGTCTCGCAACTTGAGCTGTGAAAACAGTTATAAAAATGACTGTATGACATGAACCTATTTAAATACAAAAAACATTCTATGTTCAGATACAAGAAAAAGGCTATGACTTCTTTCCTTCTAGTTCAACCTAAAACAGCAAAGCAATCATTTATAATTTTCCTTAAACGTTTTTAATATACTACAACACAATTTAGAAGTGCATGTTTTTCTCTGATAAAGTGTATTCCATACAACAAATGATGATTTTGCTCTACTTTGCTCTACTCAAACTATGGGCCACAAGAACAATGGCAGTTACTATAAGGACAGACTTCTAAAGATCAATAGATTAATTACTGATGACAGCTCAGTTCTGTAAGCATGGCAACACTGAGAAGTTTATAACCACTTGCTGTAAGGGAGCTTAACTAGGTACTGAAAAAACAGTGGGATAAAGGAATGCTTATCCTGTTTAGAAGAACTCAATTCTCCCACCTGGACAGAACTGAGCTGCTCTCATTAGGCTGTTCTTTAGTTTTACTGCAGCAGGAAGGTATCTGAGAAACAAATTCAAAATGGAGCAGTCCAAAAAAAAAAAAAAAGCCCACAAAGGCAGTGAAGAAGAAAACCATGTTCTACTGTGGATGTAAAAGATAGAATAATTCATTCTTGTCTGCAGTGTCATATTATTCTTTGGTGATGAGCTGGTAATACTTCAATGAAGTTTAAATGATGTGAATCTAAACAGTGGATCAGGTTTAGAGGGCAAATAACAGTTATTATACTCAGTCTGTGTATGTCAATTAGTTTTGCAAGGAAGGAAAACAGACCATTATAGTTTTTTTGCTGTCTTTTATGCTGCAGCCAGCGCTTCTACAAAAGAATGGCAGTCATAAAAATCTGTCCCAGAACATTCTCAAAATTGCAGACCATTAAATGTGAAGTTCTCTCACAAAGGACTACCACACAACTGTAAAGGGATAAACTCCATGCAGTTATTCAGATTTTTTTCTGGTACTCAGCAACAGGCTGAATTAAGACCATTTCCATCACAGAACTGTACAGCAGGTTGCCATTTCTCGATGCAGGCTTATGAGGAACAAGATCACTTACAGACATATCTCCAAGAAAAGGAGAAAGAAGCTATCTGAAACCCTTTTACAGAGAAACGTGAATGCACTGCCTCAAAGATTCTAGCTACATAAGTTGGACTAACCACCTCTGCATCATGGAGTCCATCCTCATTGATAGCACAGTCAGTACTGACAAAGAACTTCATTTACTCCAGTTAAATCCCTAATACATATTGGAATTCACACAGTACTGTGGTGCATTTTTGAATATAGAGCAAATCATCTTCCCAAGGAAGATGAAGGAAGTTGGTGATATTACAGCAGTGAACTCAAACTGTTTGAAGTCATTTACTAATATTTAAATGATCAATTTACTAATATTTAAATGATCAAGGGGAATTTGGCTGCAATAAAAAGTGATTTGTCTAGAAGCATTTCATAAAATGCAGATGCATCTCACAGAGTTCTCAAAATTACACGATTTATTCCCTGAAAGAATTACAAGCAATGACAAGTAATATTAACTAAAATAATATTCTAGTGTACAACCATGCATTTTACAAACCAAAACATTCTTTGGAGCTCCAGTAACACAACTAAAGAAGCTGACTTTCAATGAAATGGAATTTAAGGTAACAAAACTTTCTGTTTTTCAACAAGAAGTTTAAATCCTCTAAACTAAAGCATCTTTAAAAATAAAACGTTAGATTATAAACAACGCATGTTGGTGCTGTAAAAAATAACATCCCATGTAACTTTTACTGAAGAAATACTTAAGTCTTTTTACCACTCTTCCTACGGAGGTATAAGTGAATTAAAACCTACAACAATCACCATCTGGGAGTTAATGGACTAGGTCTAGGCCAGGGTGAAATGAGCAGTTAAGTATTAATAACCCAAGAGAAAAGCAGCTTTAACAAGTGCAGAGGCTTTGTGGATAGAAGCTTTCTTGGAGTGCCAAGTGAGACAGGCCATCTTCTGCCATCTTGGGTTGTTAAAATGGCAGGTTTTATTCAATACCTGTGTAGAAAGTTACTTCTTTAAACATGAAGTCCCAAGAAGTGCTTACCTGATATCTTCTGTTGTGCAACGGTACATTGAGAGCATTGTACCGATTAGATCCTACAGGGCAGAAATTGAGATGTGTACTTATTAAGACACTTTTTTTTAATAAGAGAAACACATTTATCAGTATACAGCAATTTAAATGAAAATTTCATTGCAGTAACATTATAGTTCATGTAAGTAATAACAAGAAACTGGAAGAACTTATTTAATGAGGTTGGACTAATCACTGCCACTTGAGAATTGTTACTGTGACTAAGTGGAGAGGAAGTATTTCCACGTTCATCTTTTAAAAGTGATTTAATTACCTGAAAACCCTAATTTGATAGGAAACCTAAGACTGCTCTTCTGTGCAAGAAGTTTATTATTATTATTTATTTATTTTTACTATGTAAGAGTGAGCAGTCTTTTTAAAAAATCCTCACAAAATTTAAGATCTGCAAATTTCAGTTACATCCCAGCAACTGTTAAATAAGATTGGTGTATTCTTCCCACTGTTTGTGTGCTCTAAAAAGCTCCTCTACCTACATCATTTGTTGATAATTTAGAATAAGATCTACTCTCCATACATTTCAGGCTTTGTTTAGCTATAGAGCACCTGGAACGATTAGTCAAATAACAGATGAGCACACTTATAAAGAGGCAGAGGGATATTTGTACCCAATGAACAGCTTACAAAGCCTAAGCACTTAAAGAGAAACAGATCCATTCTCAATTAAATGCAATAAGCACCATTTTAGTTTAAATTGGCATAAAAGAAAACTTACAGCTTCTTACTCTTTTTTCCTGTTATTCACAATGGAATCCACAGCAAACAAACATTTCCTAACTTTCTCTCATTCTTCTGTCACTTAAAAGCTTTCCATTCCTGCAATGTTTTCTACACAAGCAAAAGTGTGCTATGTGATCATGGCAGTTGAGTAAGCAGATAAACTACTTGCATCCAAGATCTTGCTACAAGGACAACCACCTGTAGGTATCAGCCAAAGCAGGCAGAGAAGCATAAACAAGAAGACAGTAGGCAAAGCTCCCTACTTGTGAGAGGAATGAAGGGGAAAAAAAGGGATATCAACTGAAAGCACTGATATCTACGCATATTATGCTGTACAAGGGTCAATGTTTTCTAAAGAGAAGGATCTGTTTATTTCTTTACTTTTTCCACCCCCAAGCCAAGACTCACTGGATTGCCAGCACAGAACCTGGATGGCTCACCCTGCAGCACCCAGCCAGATTAGCTTCTAGAGAACATAAGACTATTTTGAACATTTTTCACAGAGCTTAGAACCTCACGAAAATGCAAAAGCTTCTACCAGTAAAACCTATAAGAAAGACAACAAACAGCCTAGTTCTGCTTTTCCAAACTACCTTACCAAAACCAGCTTTTGCACTATTCCAGATCCTCCTACTCTCACTGCCAAAATAGTAGAGACTGACATATGCTTAAGCACAACCTGATTTTCAAGCTATTGAAAACAGCACCCAGCACTCATCTTGCACATATTGGTTTTGGTACCAAAGTAGTCCTTCAGGTCAAAAGTTCCTGTTCAAAAAAATCAAAGTATCTTTTCCTTGGAAATATGAGTGAGCCCAAGATAAAAGATGAGTAAGTAGTAATCTGAGTGTTTTCTAATCAGAGGTGAGAAATGTGACAGACTTCCCACAAAGCACAGATCCTTACTTAATATATTTCCATTGCTACTAGCTTATCTTTGGTTTAACAGGATTTTAAATACAATCTACAGTAACACCCTTTCAAATGAAAACCTGAACAAGTGGAGAAACTTTCATCTTTCACAATACTGTCAACACTACGCAACACAAGCAGCAAGTTACTGGAAAGCCTTTTAAAGTTTCAGTTTTCATTCTATATATATATAACACTTGATACTTTAAGATCACTAAACAAAAAGATGAATGTCATCACAGAATGGTTTGGGTTGGAAGGGAGCTTTAGGAATACAAAGTACAACTAGCACCAGGTACCTGTTTAGATGCCCAACTTTTCTTACATATAATGCATTTTAATTCTTACAGTGCATTTCCTCCAGATGAACACCCCAAAGTAAAGAGGGCTAAAAAACACACACCAAGGCAATACGTACTTGTGTCATTAAAAGGTACTTTTTCATTGATTATGCATAGAGATTCTTCCAGTCGACTGCCCAAAGCTGCTTGAAGATTCTTTAACTGCTGCTGACTAAATAACAGAACAAAAACACAGAAAAAAGCACCACATATACACTGTAAAACTTTAAAAGTTAACCTGTTTCACCACCAGCTTAGCTCACCCTAAGCAACCCTTGAGTGCACAGGACACGTCTCTCTCTGATGTCAGGAAGAGGAGAGTTACAGTCATCCCTTCTCCTTTGTGTCACATTTACAATACGTGAATGTATTTTAATCATTAACAAACACATTGAAAGATGCAACAAAACGCTGTAGATCCCAAATTCCATTCTCAAGTTACTTTAAAGTTGATCTTCACATTATTATCCAGTCCCACAGTTACTGCGTGTTGTATAAAAATGTTATTTCCTACTGAAATTTGAATGGGAATGCAAAAGGGCCTCCATGTTAGCTAACACATACTTGATACAGTAATTCAACATACAAGCAGTGAAATGCTGACAATTCAGTAAATCACCACATCATCATTAGAAGTATCTTGAGAGCTTTTCAAAGCCCCCTATTTAAGCATTTTTACCACAGCACTTGTTCTCCCAAGATCTTGCAAATTGTTCTGATACATTCTGAAGCAATTTTTCCTTAGATCTGCTTCACTTGAATCTGATTGCATACAGAGGCAAATCTGAGTTATTATGACTATTAATATCTCTAGGACAGAGATGAACAGTAAACTACTCCAGCATTATATACAAAGATTACTGAGTGTTTATTTTTCCAAACCAAAATTCTACACCTTACCCAGCTTAGGCCCTCAAAATCTTCATGTTTTGTTTCCAGTTTGACATCTAGAACCCCTGCACATATATTGGAGGGTAGGAGGAAGGTGTCAAAGCAATAGTTTGCTTTTTCTTTTGATAAAACATTGAAATACTTTGAATTTTACCAGGACTGACAAAGAAGAATCCAAATAGACAAGCAATATATGGAGAAACTATCCAGTAAGGAGTCCATGCACATTAACAAAGATCTTTATTGAAGAACAGACCCAAAACTGCATAGAAACTGTATAATATGAAATACGGTAGCATTAAGCATGACAGAAAAACTCAGATTGCAGAAGTACAGATGTTTCCCTCTTATAATAAAAAGGAATAGCTTATAATTTACTTGGTAAGTTTTGCTTCACATTTTGCCCTCTAATTTCCTAGGCATGCACACTGTCAAGTATTATATCCCTCTCCTTTCTAGGACAAAGCTTGGATCTCAAAGGAAAATGGATCCCTTCCACTAAAAAGCTGGGGAAAATATAAGATCAGTGCTTCCATGAAGGAATATTAAAATAATGATCTGTTGAGCACTGGACATAATGGCTGAAATCACTCAGTATCAGGCTTTATTCTCATGAGTCTCCCTTCATAAAGAGTAGGGACAATTTCTTACAATAACATTAATTACCCAGTCAGACACAACAGATATGTTTAAAATTAAAAGTAGATTAGGATAACGCTTTTCTTTTTTTTCAACTTCTCTTAAAATAATCCCCCAAAACTGCAAACAAGCTGCAGTAATACACAGCTTTCATCATCTTTTAAAGTCACAGGTGAATTCACAATGATTGTTTAATCAGAGTTCGTAGAATTCAACTATCCTTATACCTGCCAAAATAACACATACACTTCCAAGATTACTATTGCATGGAAGTTTTTCATCTGTCCACTGAGCATTACTGTGCATTTTATCCATCTCAATAAGGATCTACAAGGCAATTTTGTTTTCTAAATGCATCACAATAAGGAACTTCAGAGAAATACACCCTAACTTGACCCAGCCCGCAATTTAATTCCCCATTTTCTACAACTTGTCTTCAATACAGTAAGACTATTCTAAACTAGCAACAGAATCCTTGAGCCAAAAAACACACACACACACACACACACACACACACACAAAAAAAAAAAAAAAAAAACAAAACCCACCTCCAAACATTCCAGCTGAATGTTCTACCTGAAAAAAAAGCTACTGTTCAGGAGGCAACGGAGGGGGAAAGTGGGTAGAACAAGAGGGAATTCTTAAAGCTCCTTAGTTGGTTGCCTTTGTATCTTACATAAGTTTCCTGAGGCTTTTTGTTGTTGTTGTTTGTTCCCCCCACCCTCACGTGCAGCTTTTAAAAACTCCTATCTTAGTTTCATGCAAGTTCAGTAGCCCCTTTACAGTTTATAGTGTTCAATCACAAGCACTCATCTACTTCACGGCTACCTAAAGCATTCCAGCAGACAAAATCGTTTATCAAGTGCTGCTCTGGATCTGCTTGTCTAGACACACACAGAATGAAGAGGTCAAACCTGCACCACCTTGATGATATGCTGTTGCCTTGTATTTTCTATTTATCAATTTTTTATTTTTTTTTTTCAACATTATCACTCTTTAGAAGTAATCAAGTCAATCTTTCAAAGCAAGTTGTTGTTATATTAAATAAGAACACTTACCATTCTTCGGTTCGAAGCCTACAGTCCTTAGCTTCTCTTTCTAGTGTCTGAGACTTGATCTTTATGCAAGAAGATAATCTCACAATGTAATTACTGACAGAGCAAAACATTTCAATACTTTTTAAACTCGTCACATAACAGAAAAGCTCCTTACTTCCAATTTGGATTTATCATTCTGCAGCTTTTCAATGGTGTCTGTGTATTTCCTTGTTAAGCTGTCCACTACAGCTTGATGCTGGGCAGCATCAGTTTCCAGAACTTCCAGTTTAGTTCTCAGCTCTGCTTCTAAACGTTTATGCTGCTCATCTGCTTCAAAGTACTACAGCAAGAAAAGAAGAACCTTGCATAAGTTTCATTCACTGCAGAATCTAGTTCTGAGTTACACTGACATTCAGTTTCAAAACAAGTACAAGCAGAAATTCTACGTTGTTCTTTACAGAAAAAAACTATTCAGGATCCAAGTACTTTCTGCTTACCAAAAGATCTGCAATATCAAACACTTAAAATCTTTCTGGTGGAATTTTGAGAAATTAAACTTGAACCACAAGGTTTTCTGCTCACATTTTTAAAACAAAGTGAAATGTATTCTTGACTCAACAATGGCAATTTGCAGAAAATACATGAAGCTTCAAAGCAGCTCCAAAACTGTACGTGAATCTAGAAGTTTCCAAAGCAATATGAGCCACATGAGTACTTCCAGCAGATTTTCACCTTTTAGTGACAGCTAATTTAAGTGAGAAAAACATCATTATATGAAATTTCACACATGGTCTTCAGAACGTGAAGTTCAAGACACTTTCTTGTTTGACAGGGGAAAATATTTATAAGCAATACAGTCGGATCTAATCTACTATTGTGTATGCAAGGATATGCCTAAGCACACTACATTTTTAGGTGCTGTTTTACTCCCTTCATCATTGTTTGTGTGACTAGTTTTATCAACTAAAAAAAGACTGAAGTCTTACTCACAAGTATATGCAGTCGTTCATTCTCTTCTATCTTCTTCTGAAGATCCTCATTGAAGACACTTTTCTGCTCTTGACTCAACTGAGATGAAGATTCTGCACTTTTCTAAAGGAAAACAGATGCATGCATCATCCCCAGGTATGTGGGGTATCCCAAAGCACAATCTCAGGTGTCTGAAAATGCATTGCAATCACCGATTGCCAACAGAAGCACATGAATGTGTATTCCACCGAAACAAACACCTCTAACGCCACGCAATACTGCACACAGCATTAGCTTCAAAGCAGCACTTTTTCCTTCATGCTGTTTTTACTGTACTGAAGTAGAATGCTCATTTAGTGACGACTCAGGAAGCCTCTACACAGACTTTACATTCACTCTCATGAAACGGCTTCCATAGCAGGTTCAGGACATTACTTGAATCTCGCATGATTCCAAGCAGTCAGTAACATTAAAGTCTATGCTTCCTTAGTTCCAGGATCTACATATAAGGCACATTTCCCCCATCAAGCATCCATGTTTAAGTTGGCCTGGTCATATGAAAGATGAGGAACAACCACAGGAAGCACTCTACACTCTGCCATTAAATAGTGCAAAGAAGCACAGGAGAGCACAAAGACTACGAAGTAGGACACCTGAAACACAGGCATATGTTCCCCTCTTTTTAAAAGGGCTGCAGTCTGACACAAATCATCCATCAGAAACAATCTAAATAGATCTAGATGCAATCTACTTCATCCCCCATCAGCAAGAATCATAAGGATGACGTGGAATTTTGTATACTTATATTCAATAGAACATACTCAGAGAGACCCAACAGGTAAAACTACCTTTTAGATACATTCCATTTAATATAAAGACACCTTACAATAATACAGAACTAGGTATTCTGGCAGTTGAACACAAAAGGAAAAAAGTCAGTGGTGATGGCTCACAAAGCTCTTCAAGCCAGGCTGAGATCCTTCCAAATTTGGAAATGTCTAGAGAAGCTGTAGGTATCACAACTTGAAATAAGAAAAGGACCAAACTGCATTTTGAAGAGTCCACTGTGGTTAATAACATAAGTAGAGGCACTACACTTCTCAATCAAGGGAAAAGAAAGGAAGATGAGCATATCATTAATAAGTTGAGTGATTTCTTCAGCATCAGTCTTCAGAGCTGATATCGCACATTTTGAGGGATACCCAAAGAGATGAGCACATACCTTGTTCTTCTTGCCCCTAGTTTCACTTAACGAAAGTTCATCTTGAAGTAACTCCACCCGTTTGGCAAGCTGCTGATTTCGAAAGGTCAGGCTGTCCATTTCTTGTTGCAATTTTCTCAGGGATTGGTCCTTCATCTTCAATTGCTCCTTGGTGATGAAGAAGTCCAATTAAAAAAAAAAAAAACACGTTATTTTAATAAAAAAGCATCAAAAGAACTTATTAAAAATAGTCTTTCTTTCATATTTGAACCGTGACAAGTAAAAAACATTCTACTTCCTTTAGCTGCCTGCAGATCATTCTCAAGTAGATATTTAATTCTACAAATTAACCATTAAGAAGCAACCTTCTGCTTTCACAATACCAGCACCTGCAGAAAACAATGAACACAGCAGCCACAGAACAGAAGTTCTTACTAAGCTAATATCTTTATTTTTCTCTTCATAATGCCAAGTTCAAAAAACCTTCCATTCTCCTATTTTGCCACAGCTGAATACATTTGACATGAGCAGTTTTTGGATATTACCTTCAGAGATGCAGAGTTTGCTTGCTCATCCACAACCCCCTTTTTCAGTACTTGGTTCTGAGCTCGAAGCTGAAAAATAAAGAGATGCCACTAACTATGCAGGACAACCAAACAAAAGCCTCTCACTAGAATGTGCATAAAACATCATATACTTTCATGACAGCACTACATGTGCACACTTCTTACAACATTCTGTTCAAGAAAGTAGTTCCAGGCAGAAAAGCTGCACCAAATTTGTATCCTGAACTGACAAGAAACACGATGTTATTTTACCAGCTGAAATTCCTGAGTCAAATAGAATAAAATACTTACTATCATGAAGATTAGTTACTAAGATACAGTTAAGGTTTCAAGAACTGTAAACAGCTAAGGAAAAGTCACAATCCTTGCTTGGATTCATTGCTACTTCTGCCTCTTCCTTCTTCTCCCCATAGCTGTCTATGACATTAAGAGAAACTCAGAATAAACAGTTAAAATCTCTTTCAAGAAGAGCTAAGCTATACTTTAAGGAAAAATTCATATTACCATACGCAGCAGCAAATAATCCAGAGATCAGCTCAACAAACAGCTGAAGAAAATATAACAAAGCATACAAGAAGTCCTCTCAGACTTTCTTATCCGAGCTACAAATCACTGAGGTGAAATATAACACTCAAGAAGACTCTTTCCCAGTCACTTCACGGAGTACCTCTACCCTGTGGCAGTAAGGATACCAACAGCATCAGCTTCCCATTTCTTGATGATTGCTTGAATCCTGGTTTCTTTCTTCAATGGTAGATTGTATTCATTTGATATGTTTTAGTCCAGCTGTTACAGATACAAATTAAAGGGGTTTGTATAGTCCTTGGGAACACCTCTGGCAGAAGCATATAAGGCAAGATTCAATGTGAATCAGCAACAGCACACCTTCTCTGATGACTGAATATACTTCAGAAGGTCAAAACCCAATTGACATCACTAAACACAGGCTTTCACCCTTCAGTATTCCCAATGTGTTGCTAGGGCATCACAAAGGTAAGAAAAGAAACTCGCAAGAGCACCAGAGACTTCCAAGCACAAGGTGTCCCAGCAAGAAGAAGCAATGCAGTAGCTTTCAATTCCTCTTTCTGACACAGCCACTAAGGCAGCAACATGTGAGATGCAGAAATGAAACAGAATGAACTCGCTCAACTGTGCTGCATCAAGTTAACTACGCTGAAGTGCAATCCACCAAAGGCTGTCACAGATTGAAAGCTCTCCAACTACTGCTTCAATTAGGGCTGTGTGAGAGAGCAAGAAGCTGTAACTCAAAGGGAAGAAAAGTTTGAGAACACAGATCCTTCTTCTGGACTGCTCTGAACAGAGAGGGAAAATTATCCTTTGCCAGATACTTCTGTTATCACTTTGTGAATCTATTGAGCTCTTGTCTGCCCCATTCCCTGGCTTTTACACCATAATCAGAGAACAGACACATAGCTTTACAGACCTACTCTCCTTTTCCACCTGCACACAACAAGCCACCAACTCTCCAACTGATTACTTGCATGAAATGAGTTACCTGGAAAGCTGATCCCACAGTGTTCTGGGGCTGTTCAGCAAAAAAAGGAATGGGAATAAAAAAAAATAGTTCCCACAGAGATCCAGTGGAACATTGCAGGCTGACAGCTGCAAGACAAAGTTAAAAGAACACTTCTGGACAATGCGATTTTAGAAGAGTGGATCCAGTAGCTGAAATATTCCAAAGCTACAGTCAGAAGGTCCACACAGCAAAGGAATTAAGCAGCAAAGTCCCTCAGTTACCTTATCCCGAGCCATATTTAATGTCCAAGGTACAGCAGAACCACTTTAGAAAGCAACAAGAAATATGAACAGACAACAGCTGTGACAGACAAAACCCTAAAATCAGTTCAGTTTCCTTAAGTGTTCCCACAAGGTGAGTTTAAGAAACACATATCTATCTGTGAATAATTTAGACTCAGTACAGTCATTTACAGCAGTTCCAAGAATAGTATTTAATGTGTTATTCTGTAATCTTGAGAAAAGTGTCAAATGCAGTCAGTGTCTTGTACCAAGCTCCTTTTGATGTAGAGGCATATGAAAATTAAGTGCTGACTTTCTTTCTCAATGTTGTAGAAAAACTCTGATATTCAAAACCAAAGTTTCATCTTCTTTTCAGTGAACAAACAGAGAGAAGAGCTTTGGATTAACCACAACTCCCACCATCCAGGAAATCATTTCAAATGCACTGGAAAAAAAAAAAAGCACTTTATCCAGGGACTTTGCGAACACTTCTGCAAGCAGCATAAGAAACAAGAAGCAGTCAGTCACCTCAGACAGCTGCAGAAGGATGGGAACAGGGGTAGGACAGATGTGAAGTCAAGCATCCTCATCACCAAGAGGCTGCAACACCCCTGTGAGCACCCCGACTGCCCCTGACATCCACATCCACCAGTCTGAGCAAACTCAGCTGCAGGTAAGAGCAGCACAGACACACACTCAAGAAGACGGCTAAGCCTCACACCTGACTACGAAGTGAAAAGCCAAGGGAAAGCACGACTCAGCTCGCCTCCTCAGCGCTGCAGAACCACCTGCTTGTCCCATACATGCTTTGCAGACGATGCCACCTCTCCTCCCCGAGGTCTGACCAGCCGGCAGGCGGCACCACCGCGCTCCGCCCGCGTCTGCAAACCCACACCCCAGCCTGCCCTCTCCTCACAAACAGGCGATCTTCGGCACCCCCGTCACCTCGACCCGCACAAGCAGTAGCCGGCGGGAGAGCGCCGGGCAGCACCGGGGCTGCGCGAGGAAGGGCCCCCGGCCCCCCACAGGAACAGCCGTTAGGCGGCGGCAAGCAGCGGCCGCGAGGGGAGCGGCTGGAATGCTCGCGGAAAGGCTCCCGGTACCTTGGAGTATTCCTGAGCCAGCTTCTGGTACTTCCCCTGCAGCTCCGCGGTGGCCGCCATCCCCCCGCCCCGGCACGGCCGCACCGGCGCTAACGCAGCCGCCGACCCCGCACGCCCACCAGAGAAAGACGCACTTCCGGGTTCGTGCGGCGGCGGCGCGATGACGTCACCACACCGCCTCGTTCCCGCGGGGGCTGAGGGCGGAGCTTAAGTCGCCGGCGCCACCATCTTGACGCAATTTCCAAGATGGCGGCACGGAGGCGGGCGGGAAGGCGGGTTGGGTCGCGCGACCCCGGGGAGGCGGTCCCAGCGGCCGCCGTTGTCATAGCAACGGCCGCCGGGCCCTGCGCAACGCGAGCGCAGGAGGTCGGGCGGGGGCCTTGAGGCGGCGCGGGCGCCATTTTGGCGTAGCCCGGTGCGGGGCGCTGCAGCGCTGCCGCTCGCCCGGGTGGGGCGGCGGTCCGGCTAAGGCACGGCTGGCGCTAGGGGGAGCCCCGGGCACGAGCCGGCGGCCGCCTGCCCGTATGGCTGTCCGGGCTGTTGGATCTACCTGGCGCTTGGGTCATCCTGTGGGTCAGACGCTGAGAAGGGAAGGGTGGCCGACTGCTGCAGTGCGAGCAGTTTGCTCGCAGCCCGCGGTCTCAGAGTCCATTTTCAGTCTTGGCAGCCTGTGATTCCCCGGAGCCCTTTTGTGCCATCTCGTAGGTCCCTTTGTTTCAGAGCCACGTTTATCCTTACATTTGGCGTTTGTTGAGATGCATGTACGCCATCGGCGCTCTGCATCACAGCCGGCGTGCTTAGTTATGCCAGACATCTCTTTATGAGAGAGTTCTGGTTTCGAAAATGCCTGAGGACAGGTGTGCAAGGAAAAGAAATAGTAAGGCAAAAAATGGTGCTACACCAGCGTGCTGTGAGCGCCTGGTGATGTGCAGGTAAAGGGCTGCCTAGTTAAGGATGGACATGTAAAAGCAATTCATTATTTTTGTGTAATTTCAATGGAATCATTATTTTCCACTGAATTCTAACGTGGTGTCTTCATAGTCCTTCAGCAGTAGGCAGTGCTAGCAGTGCTAAGTGACCATTTTCATACCTTCTTTTCTATTTGCTTCCTTTTAGAGGGAAGTAGTCGCCCACAATGGGTCCTTCTCTTCAGCCTTGAAGCTGTGATGGTGTGTGCTGCTGTTTTTCTCATCACAGGAGCAGTGTTGTCAAGCACTGAATAGGGCATGGTGCTCAGCTTAGTAAATATGTTTGTATCTCCGCAGGAATCCGTGTGTTGGAGGACATGTCACTGATCTGTATTGCCACGAACAGAGACTGCATGTTTTTAGGAAGTCTAAAAGAGGGCAAAAGCAAAAGACATCACTATTCACCCCAGTGATTTGCTGCTGTTCTGACTGACCACAAGAGCTCAAATAGCTTTACAGGAGTAAATAATCTCTAACATTTAATAGTAGACTCATATTACACTACTACTCCATTTTGTATTCCGTACTGAAGTTCCTAACAAAGTACTTGGAAGCACACTGTAATTGCTATTCAGCATACAGGGGTTAATCACAGCCCACTTCACCTGGCACATCTTCTAACAGCTCAGTGTGGTAAATGTTATACTGGTGAATTATTGAAAACCTTTACAACTAATGCTAAGTCTGTATTTTCAGGTTTGATTTTCTAGGATGTATCTTTCATGAAATGTTAGATTGAAATGCTTTGAGCATATGTTGCAAAATGTGGCACTCCCATTTTGTGATGAGTTCAAAGATGCTTTTGTGATAGAATTTTCTCTTTACCACTGATGCAGTGAATGCTGACAGAGAGGTTTCACAGCTGAAAGCTGGGAAAGAGAGCTGATGGACATAGGGTGTGTAGCTGTAGCTGAGTGAATTGCTTCCCCACTGACTGCTGCAGTGACTGATTGGTGGGGGAACATGGACTTGATATCGACGGCATCCATGTAGAATAGCAAGATCCAAACATACGTTCTGTCATATAGGGTCTTTGTCATAGGAGGTAATACCAGTTTCTTATAACACGAGCAGATTGAGTGGATCAAAAGATAGGTGGTCTTACTGCTGAAAGGCTGTAAAGCTGAGAGCTGACTTGAGATTTTTAGGCTCATCAGAAACAGGTCTACTTCAATGCATTTTGAGCACCAGGCTGGCCTCGTGTATTTCAAAAATGCAACGTCTCCTAATCAGCTTCTCATAGATCATGCATGAGAATAGTGCTAGCAGCATATAGTGTAATTTATCACTGTTCTGTGGTGGTACTTGGTAAAAAGGTCAAGTCAAAGTTCCTCAACCATGTATGTAACAGAAAGTTTATTTTTTTACTTTCTCTTAGCAGATTGTCAGATTTATCCTTTTGATTTTGTCATTGCAATTATTTGCAATGCTATTTCCCCTTCTTACAGCTCTGAAAAACTTTGTTGTGCTGTTTCCACTCAGGTACTTTCTTAATATCTGCCTTCTTCAGAAAGCAGGGCTGTCCAACCACTGCACTGGGGAGGTGCACAGCACATGCTGCTGCAGTGCAGCGTAGCCAGTGATCCGGTATGTAATTGTGTAAGATTGACTCTGTCATCATATCATCAGAGCAAGAAAGGTCGACTGGGTAGAATGCCAAGTAGCGTGTTGCAGTTTCCAAAGAACCCCCAAAATATTGTCTTCTGCAAGTCCACCCACATGAAAAAAAGAACACATTACCACAGCAAAACTTGAAGCAAGCTGAAGCATGTTGAACAAAATAATCCCTTACAAGGGTCATATAGCATTTGTGCTTGTCTTGTTGGCTCTCACTGGGGTGAATAAAGAGCCAAGGATATACAGTGGATCACAGGTTGTCCTTTTTTTACATCTGCACCCAGCAGCTAGTACAATGGGTGCTGAATTCTAGGCGGTGCCTCAAGATGGAGAATTTATTTAGGAATTACGGTGATTGTTAGGATACGTTTCATTTTCAGGCTCATTTATCCTCCACTCCTTGCTCAACAGTGCTTTTGCCTCTATCTGCTTAATCAGAACTTGCATTTTGCTTATCCTGTAAATAGGTGCATGTGGAGAAATAAACAACGAATGTATTTTCAGTCACCCAGGATGTTTTCTGTGCTTTGTGAAAAATAAACTTCATTGTCATCGCTTGCATGCTTTCAAGTCTTCACAACAAAAGGGTTTCTAAGGTCTGGAAAAATTTCAAAACCTTTTGGAAAGGAGCCATCTTCAGTCTTCAACTATCACAAGAAATGCATAAACCACATCCTCAGAAGCTGCAAACACCCTGAACTGGTGTTTTGTTTCTGTTATCTTAGCAACGGCAAGTATGAACAGCAGGATATGTGCTCACAATGTGCACTCATTTCTCACCATGACTCTGTAGTGAGCCTTTTGTTATAGGCAACCTTTCACCTTGCTCAAAATCTGATTATTCTGATAAAAATATAAGAAAGCCAAGCACTCAAAGAAGTGTGACAAACAGAAAAGCACTTCACAGAACAGTTTCATTATCTGTAGTCTTCACTATCATAATTTCAGGGTTTCCGTAGCATTTAAAAATAGAAATGAAAACAAGCCTCTGCCTCTCGTGCCCCTCCCCAGCCCATAGGATAAGTAGCTTGAATCATTTATAGGGTGTGTGTGTGTGACCACAGGAGCAGTGCCTTTGCACAGAGAGAAATGACTGAGAACAAGAGTACAGAACAACTGAGCAAGCAGGGTGCCTGTGACAGTTCAGGGCTGACTTTGCAGCTCATGGCAGTTCTCTTCACATGCTCCAAACTCTTCTCCTTGGGGCTTGGTTCCACTGCAGCACAGCCCATACCAGCACTTGGGGATCTTCACCAAAAAAAGAACAGCCATACTGACTTTTGCTCCACTTAACCCCAGAACTCTGCAACACCTGAGAATGTTTTGCTTCCATTTTTCTCAAAGTGGAATTTTGTCTCATCCAGGCAAACGCCACCTCTTCCCTCACTCTACCATCTTTTGTTGGAGGGCTACTCATATTCTATAATCTCAGTTCCTGCTTTTCTTCTTTTGCAGGAAAATATTGACCCAAAGTAGTCCTGCTGCTCTCACATTCCGATGTTGCACTTTCACAGGAGAAAAAAATTGCAGACAGTGTGTCTTATTTTCAATGAGCCAAATTAACCAATTTCATAGAAAAAGATAAAAGAGCTGAGGATTATGGAGATTTTAAAGTGAGAAATGTAAACACTTTTTCTTGTACATAAGGTGTGGACAGAGACCTGCAAGCCACTGAAAACAGCTCCAACTAACCTACGTGAATGACAGCAGCAAAGCAGGAGCTGTATCTGCAGTAAAGGTGGCAGGGCTCTGCTTTTGTTTTCCCAACATTGCAGAGAGAAGAGAGAGATCGGGTGGATTTGCTGGTCATTCAGGGAGCATTTTAATCAGAACTGTTCCTGTTTACAAGGACTTGAAGTGTCACCACCAAAAATAGTTTAGACTTTCAGCATGAGCGAAATGCATAAAAAAACTACTGTGGAAAAAGAATGAGGAAAAGAAGGGGACGTGGTTCCCCACTGCAACAGCCCAAGGAGAGAGCCATAAGTGGCTATTCAAACATCCAGGCAGAGATGGGAAACACGGACCTGAAGAACCAGAAGAGGGGATCCCCAGAAGAACTGAAAGCAGAGGGGCGTTGTGATCACACCAACTGCTGGAAAAGGGGCTGTGGGCAGAAGCAGAATTGTCTTTGTGTATTAGCATGGACTGGAAAGAAGCAGCAGCACGGAAGGCACAGCCACGTCGGGTCTGAATCCTAACAACAGGAGGAAGAAGAATCTTAGTGGAGTTCACAAAGCTGAGATAGGCAATATTCACATTTTAAAAAATGATTGTTCCAGTTGTTTTTGTTTGTATTTTACTAACATTTTTTGTGTGCATTTTCTTCAGTGTTTTCCCTTCCTTTTGTGGTTATGATACTATGCAACAGAAGCAGCATTTTAGCAGCTGAGTGAAATACCTCGTGCCTTAAAGAAGCAAGCAGCAAACTGGAGAGCACTTTAAGGAGACACGTATTAATGAATCAAGGAATGACACAGAAATAAGTTCATTTTTTGTGAAATATGAGAGTAGGCTTCCAGGGCTCTACCCTTTAGACAGCAATAAAATGCAGCAAGCTGTTTTAAATATATATTCATTGGCACTTCTTAGTGATCTGTAAATATTCTTTGTAATCTTTTAAGCTTCACAGCCAGAAAAAGAGTGAAAAAAAAACAACCGTCCACCATTTCAAAATGCCAGCAGTGTGCTGGAATGGCTTTAGAGAAGACGACAGGCTTCTGGACCTCGGTGAAATCCAGCACACATAACACTGCTAAAAATGAAAGCCAAAGTGTTCTTGGCACCTTTCCACCTGTAAGCATTCATTCATTTGAAAAATAGTATTCAAAATAGTATTCCTTAGAGAAGAGCAAGCTAGCAAAGAAAGGCAGAGTCACAGAAGGACAGCGCACAGTTTTCCACTTCCAAGTGCACCCACAATTTCTGTGCACAGATCAGCACTAAAATAAATTTTGGATCAAGATCTGCCTGGCTCTAGGTGCTGCACGTAAAATTCTGCACCACGAGAATCAGAGCATTTCCAAAGCTGCAATTCGTTGGACACCAACAAGTAGGGATTAACAACCACGTCGGAAATAATGAGCCTTGACAGATCTAGGGTTAAATACTTTAAAATTAGATCCTGCTGAAAGCTGAATCCTGTTGCTTAGCGACGGCTGCATGGGATGCTGCTGTCACTCCATGATGCTTCTCTGGGGAGTCAGCACTGCGCTCACAGAAGTGGGTTATGATTGGGTCAAGGTGACATCATGAAGCACGGCGGCAATATTTTTTTTAAGGTAGCTTGTAGCACCATCACATTCTGTACAATAGCTGTGTAGCCACTGAGAGGCTTAAAGAAACATCTGGCTTTTCTTTTGAAAGGGCTCTGCTCTACCAACACGGTACCTGCCTCAGGGAAGGGCTCACGGACCCCATGGAGACAGCAGGTTGTTCTGGCAAGCGTGCCATAGTCCAACACAACAGGTGGACTTTTAATCTTTTCCAATTACTCACAGCCAAAAGAAAAGAAAGATAAAATGCCTGTAATTTGTGGAGGTCAGGCTGTGCATATGGAGCATGGAATCCTCCACCAGCAGCTCAAAAAACACATGCACAAAGCTCAGAGAAAGGAAAATGCATCCTTCCAGAAAATGACTGAAAAATCTGGTTTGCTGATTTCATGTGAGCTTCTAAAGCCGAGAACCTGCTGGATCTTAGTGAGAAAATACCAAAATACTGATTTAATGAAATAAAAAATGTGTTGCTTCTGAGGTTGGGCTGGTAGGGTCCAACCTGAGTCCGTAGGCAAGGAAATGCCCAAGTAATGAATCACCACCACCTTTTTAGGAATGAACGCAAAAATGGTGCATCCAGTCCAACTGATTGTGCTGCCTGTTAGGTCTTGGGCAGTCAAGAATCAATAGAAATGGAGATTATGACAACCATCGTAAAAGCAAAGCTCAGCTGAACACTGCAGCTTTAATAAAAGTCAACTGTCCTTTTGCAGATGCTGAAAGAGCTCACAAGTACTTGGTTGAAGGTCATTCTGACAACTCAAAGTATGGTGACACCAAATGTGGCATCTCATAGAGCAGAGGTGCTGAGGCCAGAAAGCTGAGGCCAGCTTGCAGAAAGCACTGGCATTCCTGAGGAGCATCCATAGATCTTACCAGCGTGTGTCAGCGTGCTGAATGCAAACCAGGACTGAGCTGAAAGAACCAGAAGGGTGGCTACAAGAAATGCAGATCATGTCTTCCAAACGGAAAGCAAATGATCTTGGTTTGTTTAGTAGCTCAAGAGCCTAAGGAGGGGAATGATTGCTTTTGTACTGAGGCAATGAGAAAATAAGCACTCATGTTTAACGAAGCTCTTTAGACAAACACTGGCAGGGGATAGCTAATTATGTTAGCAGGAAACGGGCTGTAGCTGCAAGAGCAGGAAGCTTTCAGGAGAGCCTGCTTGAAGAACAGGGAGAACAAGAAACCCACTCCATCTGAAAACTTCAAGCACAGCTGATACTGCTGTCTTATCTCAGATGCAAGAACAACTTACAGCTTAAAACAGAAGTTTCTACATCCAGATACACTAGGGAGAGCTCACACACACAGACACACACACACACACACACACACACACACACACACCCCACTCAAATTAAGAACACATACAGGTATACAGAAACTCAACATCTAAGAAAGTATCAGCATATTCTGCATCAAATTTCGACAAGCATTGTCAAAAATAAATCCAATCTAAGAAGTCATTCCTGAACAAGTGTCCTTAAAATCCAAGTGGCATACCTGGGTAATTGCTTTGGTGAATGCTTTGTTCCAGGAGCTGCAGCTCCACACAGAAGATAATTCCCAGCAAGGTTGTCACAGAGGAAAATGCTTTCTGACATTTAACAACAGGACTGTGAATGAAAACTGGATGTCATTAATATGTGATTCTCAGCTGTGATTTTGTCCAAGAAAAGTAATTTCTCTATGAACTACACTGAAGTGAATACTTACACAGTTCTGCTCCCACCTCCTGACTGCTCTGCTCCCCAGGCACTGGGAGGAGTTCATGCACCTGTGCTCATCCAAGCAGCAGATCTGTCCCATTGGCAGGGTGCAAGCTGAGACAGGTGGAGAAGGGATGGGAGCACTTTGCTCCTGCTGCTGGAGGAGGGTGCTGCTACCAGTATGCCTTCCATAAGGCCTTATGGATAAAGATGCAACAGACCCTGTCGACCACAGCTAAAAGGAAACACTGAAAGAGCATCAAGTGAGAACTATGAAGCTTTATCCAGGGATATGCTCTTACAATTATCCATCCTATACTGTGTTGCTGATCTCTAAGTGCTATACAAGCAGCTTAACTGCAGCAACACAGATAAAGAACAAAAGAATCATAGATAATCATCAGAAAACCAAGTTGTTTTTTTTTTGTTTTTTTTTTAAACCAAAAAGCAAAAGCAAGGTGAGATGTCTCACACAAGGACAGAAGATGTGCAGTAGCATTCCAGCAGTCTCCAAAACGTCAGAACATTCCTTGAGTTTCATTAAGTTCCAGCATTAATCAAATATACTTCAAATATTACAGCCGGTTATGGATGAACTTGCCTGCAAACAGATCCTCCTATGTGTTACCATACAGATTACTTCCACGTGCATGCAACATTCTTAACCAAGCAGAGACCTACAGCCAATTACATTTGCTTTTGGCTTTTTTTTCCAATCCAACCCACTCTTGTGGAGCAGATTTAAAGGAAAGCAGGGGACTCCAAGCACCCTTTGGGACTGATACCACCACCTGTAGATAAAGAGAGAACGCAGCACTTTGTTTTGCAATGCCATTTATTTTATAAAAGCCCCTTTGATCATCTGAATGAAAAATGTGGGCAGAAAAGTCACAAATGTTATAAAACAAAGTTTATTCTGCAATATTTTGTCATAATGAATTGCATCTCTTTGGTAAAAATAAACTTTATAAACATTTTAATTAACAGAGATTAGCATACAAAAAACTAAACTTCTGTAAATATTCTTTAAAACGGGTAAAGGACTAAAGTGGAGGAAAGAGGGTTAGAATTGGTCACCTACAGGCAAAATTATCCTAACCAAACCCAAGGACGCTGCTTATGCTACATCAGAAACAAGCAAGAGGGAACATTTTAAAAACAACTCTGGTTCATTTGATCAGAAAGCATTCTTACAATTCACTTTTAAATAAATAATAGTTACAATGAATTGGCAATTATAAAATGTTTTATATCACTATATGGCAGCAACATAATACTTTTAATTATGCACTTTTTAGTTTGAAGAAATGTACACTTATAAAACAGACTTGGTAATGGCACTGGCAGTTAGTTGTGAAGAATGTGCTTTTAGATAGAATGGCAGGTGCAACATTTAAAATATTCTATGTCTTCCTTCCAATAAATATTTTGACTACACCGTTATCAACACGTGTGAGCGTAGTTTGCTTTAACCAAAGCTTTTCCTTTTCAGCCTAATGAGAAGCTGCAAACTAGGCAACCTCCATTTTAAAATTGGATTTTGAAACATTTGAGGCAAGTTTCACAAAAGCAATAATTTAGTATCTGGGTCTGAAAGACCAGCACAGGTTTGTACAGCATCCACATCACAATTTACCCAAAAGCAGAGCAGCCTCCCTTCCACACCAGTCCTGTGCACTTCTCCACTGTGTTTAAAGGAATGAAGGTGGTTCATTAATACTTCTGTTGCCTTTTAACTGCTGTTAAAGTATATTTGAGTCAACCATTGGCATGAACATTTTACATATGTCACTAAAGAAAACCAACCCACCAACAGTCAAAATAACTTTTAATTATACTCCATTTATACTATATACACCAGGGTCTTTAACTCAGGTGGCAAACAAACCCAAACTCCATTCTAGCTATGGAAGCGAAAGGAACCGCAACTATTCTGACCTTCAGTTCTCTCCTGCTGAAAGCTGTGAGGATGGATGCAGCTTTCACTGTTAGCTGCTCACCAGCACAGGTTTATTGCTTGTTGCATGTGGTCATTAAATGCACTGGTAGCTTCCCAGTCCCACACCATCACCTGCTTCAGGGTGAGCCATGGCACAGCCATGCTCCTAGTTAAGTATTAACCCCCTCAGGTTTTATCCAAGGCCAAAAGAAGCTCAGAATCAAAACCAGCCATGGAGCTGATATTGGCACGTTTTCCCAAGTGACCAGACATTGATCTGGCTGTCCTTGGAAGCCAGAGAAGAGTTGCAACCAACTCCAGCATGAGCCGTATGGCACCCTTCTTCAGCAGCACCCCACTGACGTCACGGCACCGAGCAAAACTCCTGACTGCTAACAGCATCTCTCTGTAGGTGAATCCTCACTTTCTGCATTGATGCAGACTCTGCCCTTTGCAGTATTCAGTCAAAACGCCAAAGCAAACTATGAGCAAAAAGTAATTCCGCTGAGCATTCACATCTGCACTTCCAAAAATCCTAAGAACCACTGCATTTATCTGTAACTTTCTTTCAAATAGCCAATTTCTCCCCGCTATTCATTAGTAACATCCAATATCAGATCTAATTGCCTAATGCACCACTTGTGATATCCAGAAGACATACGCATCTGTACAAACGTTGTCCTGTTACAGGTGTAGACTAATGGGTGTTAACACGAAGTAGGAATGCAGCAGAGTTCTTCCCTTTCAAGAAATAAAACAATTCATTCTTAAAACAGAAGTGATTGGGGAAAAAAAAAAAAAAAAAAAAGACATTTTCTAGTGTTTGTGCTTTAAAAAGAAAATTGGCTTTGAATTCCAAAACATGCTACAAAAGAACCTCAGATATTTCAGGCTTGATCCTACAGCCATGAAATCAGTGGGAGCACCACTATTGTCTTTAAGAGGCACTGAACCAGGCCCTTAGAGCAACAGACCCTCAGCAGCATGGCTGTATTCATATTTAAAGTAGAGACGTTTATGGCAGTACTCATGAAAAGGTTGACAAATAAGAAAAAACACTGATCTCTAAAAGGCCTCCAAAGAGCCAGAAAAGCATTCATTCCACTAAGGATGGTTACCTTTTGGCTGAACCCAGCACCGTTTTCAACCACCGAAACAGTGGATGCTGGTTTCCTACTTCTAATTCTTACTCAGCTTTGCCCAAGAACTGCTGGAAACAACAACGTGTCAGCTGAAAACTTTATGGCACATCACACTGCCCTTCAGAAACACGAAAGATGACCGCTTATACTGTCTAAGATTCTGAAACATACATAAGGCATCCTTATTGTTACAGCACAGTTAAAACCCACTCTAACAGCACTGAGTACCCATTTTTGGGCAGAAAACCTTTCTTCTTTAAAAAATAAAACAACAAATCAATAAAAGATCAGAAACCATCACTTATATAAATTAAAGAGGAAGAAATTCACCGTAATACTAATTTTTATTAATTTTTTTTTTTTGGCCAAATGATGTGTGGGAACTCTACAGATTCTTTTATTGCAAAAATGAATTGTGAAGGAATTCCTTCCCAAAACAGAGAGCTACTACAGACATCCAAGGGGCAAAGGCTCGCCTTGCTTGTTAGATGCACTGTATGTGGCAGGTCTAAAGGATTCACAGAACAGAAGGCACGCTGATCTGGGAAACAGAGTACGGACAGCCAAAAAACACAAATTGCTTTTCTGTGTTCAGTAATTCAAAAGGAAGCTATTTGGCTTTGTTTCAGGTTGGGGGTGAAATTTCTCTTGTCAGCGGTCATTCATGACCGAACCACCTAAAACCTCTACCTTACTTCCAATTTAACAGCACGAGCTGCTGTTCTTTATTCTGAGTCCATCTCTTCCACTGGGGAGCAAGGCAGCAGATGTGGCAGTGGGACAGCAGCAGAACTTCTGCTCATGCTCTCAGACACGTGGTCTGATTATCGGGTGGTGGTACGTGGAGCCTGGAGTTGGACTCAGTGATCCCTATTTTTCCCTTCCACCTCAAGATATTCCACAGTTGTACGATTCTACTACATGTTCAACAGTGGCAGTGATAAGAGGACATCAAGCTTGGAAAGCAGCTTTCACTGTAGGCTACACCCAAGATGTGTGCACATCTGTAACAAAATGATCCCTAGCCTCTGCCCCCCAGGACATTATGTCTTAAGATGGAAAAAACAACAACAACAAAACAACCAACAGGTTCAGGAACCTGACCTGCAGACAGCAGGCTGGCAGTGAGGGTACAAGCAGGAAAGAAAAATAAAGCAGAGGGTGGCACCCATCTCAGCTGCCCCTTGTCCTCTCTGCCTGGGAGGGCTGTACTCCTTCCCTCTACCCCTACCTACAGCTTGCTGAGAGCACCTCCTGCAGTGGTGCAATTGTCAGACGCCGTACTGGATGGGCTGAAAACTGCAGCCACTGGGAGCTACCTCTGCAGCATTTCCACTGAAGAGCAGTTAGAAGAGCAGAGAGGAGCACATGGGAGGAGGTAATTCAGGCCAGAACATTTCTTTTTTTCCTTCTTTCTTTCCTTTTCTTTTTTCTCCTCCTTTCTAAATCTTTACATGGAAGTCAGAGCCCTTAGACAGGGCAAAATTCACATCTGCAGATGAGGCCAGCAGAGATGTCAACATGACCCATAACATGCATCTGAGCAAATAACTCTGGAAAAAAATCAAAAAAACTATTAAAAAAAAAAAGGAAAAAAAGAAGGAAAAAAAGTGATCATTAAGAAGTATGCTTTCAGGTTTTCACAAGTCATGCATCTCTTCTAATCTGATTTTTTTTTTTTTTTTCCTTTTTAGGCAGTGATTTAAAAATAAATGGCTAAATTACAGTTAGTGCCAAAAATAAAAAAGCAATGAGTCCTCTTATGGCTTTGATCTCCCTTGTGAAGGGTAAAAGTAGAAGAGTATTGCCACAATTAAAAAAAATATATGTATATATTCAACATTGACAAACATACTATTTTTTCCTTTGCTTGTGACTGTGGGTCTTTGCAGTACTTATTAAGGAACCCAAGCACGTTTGGATGCCAGCAAGGTGGAGCAGGGACCCCGCTGCTTCTTTCAGCTCCTCATCAATTTCTTGACACAACTCCTTCAGCGCTTTGTTGCTAGGCTGACTTTTCTCAGAGGTATCTACACAAGGTTGTGATGCATAGCCACTGTCTCCAAGAGGATCGTCTTCATAGTCAACGTCTGTATCCACTTCACTGTGAAATCCTTCACTGCCATCACTTCCAGCATGGCTGTTCTTGGAGATAAATTCATACACCTCATCGACAGAGGACAAGGAAGACACACTGGACCTAGATGCACAACGCTGCGAGCCCAAACTGCTAGCACTGTAATTATGATCCTCCTTCGGATCAATATTGGTGGCTGCAGAATCATTTTCTTGCAAGTTTATGGAACTGGAAGGATTAAACGCACTGCCGTAACTCCTCTTCTTAGGTGTCTTCAGAGACTGAGGTTTCTCACCTATTAAAAATTAATTCCATCGGTAAGCATATATTCAGTAAGCATAAACTCAATCACTTGTGAAAAAACCCATGCTTTGGCTGCTGAGTGCAGAGAATAAGCTGGAAGCTAACACTAGCAGAGAGCTACAATTTCTTGTGCACATTTCCTGCCGTCCACAGAAGACAATGGTCTTCAGCTAATCACAGATAAAAGATGGAGACACAGAGAAGTAGTTAAGAGCATCTTGTTAGCATCTAGTACAGAAAGGGCAAGGGAAGAACTTTGCACAAAAAAAAAAAAAAAGGAAAAAAGAGAAGGTGGTTCTCTAACGCTAGCAGAAAGAATGATAAAACAGATTTGCTTCTTGACTCTTCTTACTACTGGTGAGATCCACCACTTTAAAGAAAACATTTAGCCACAAGGTAAAGGAAAAACCAGTAAAATGGCTTATGCTTACAGTCTAGCATCCCTTGTTCAATTGAAGTATTCAACAGCATCATCGCAGTAGCAGCATCAATATCAGATTCTGCAAAGGAAAAGCAGCAAAATGTTACAACTTGGGAAGGACTGACAAAATTAGGTCTTTAGAACACATGAAAAACAAAAATATATCTGCAGACATTGGTCTACTATGAAGAACAACAAAAAAATGTGTCAGGATTCAGACCCAGCACGATTCTAATATGGTAAAAAAAAATTAAGGCACAGTGATCCAGAGGGGCACTGTATGAGCAATGTGGCTACAGAACGGCCATGTATCTCAAGTATAACTCTACTAATGCTAAACTCTTGCTGAATTCTTACTTAACTGAATTCACATAACCACATCTGAAGCCAAGAAACAGCAACATTAATCAGATGCTCAAGATGATGATATTACAAACAAAAGCCACTTGTTGATAAAGAAAGATAACGCGTATGGCAAAACAGGGCACCTAGTCAGCTTCATACCCTCATCCTCTGAATGAACCCACAAGACTGGAGAATGCTGTTAAACACAGCACTAATTCAGCACACATTTTCTGCTTCCTATTACCTCAGCACAAAGTGCCCTCTTCACAGGATTTTTCACACTACAAACATGTAAAATGGAGCAAATAGAGAAGACAAAAAGGGAAAAAGAACAGAACTGCTCCATCTAGAATATATAGAGATATGCATAAGAAACAGGCAATTGAAAAAGATTCAGATGAACAGCAGTGATTTAGTTATGGTGACAAACTACTTGTAAGATGCTGTCCTTTGCTGCACTGAATGGATTACAAGCAGAGAAGTGGGGCTGGAAGACAACATCCTGGAAAGTGCCAGCATTAAGTGGTCTCTGCATCCTGCTCAGCTGCTGCTGAAGTGAAACATCAGCAATCCCATTTGCAGTCCTTCCCCCACTCCCACTATGTGCATTAGCTGTGTTACCAAACTTCAGTGGGACTGAATTTTGGGGGGGAGACTGCAGAATTGCCAATTTGATTTCCTTACCCTACACAGCTTTTGATAGCCTCACTCCACTCAATGGGAAATTTGAAGAACACCATGTTGGCTTTTATTAACACAGAAAGTGAATGAGCTGCTGCTTCCAACACAGGTTGTAAGACATACACCTTCCCCATTATTTTCTATCATTTTTAAATCAATATACTTAAAGGTCATGTTCCACTGCACTTGCAAGATGTTTTTATCTCTGATTTAGCAGTAACGGAGCAACTGAACTGCCAAGTCATAATTCACCATTTATGGTGCAACTGACAAAAAGAAGTAAAATCGTAAACAGTTACTTTCTTTCGCTTTCCATAATCAGAAAATGAGATAGTCTGACTCCTTGCCTGCCATCAGACTCCTTCCAACAAACAGTGTTGGTACAGAAACACCACCCTGACACACTGACAAGTAATGGGAGGCACTAATGAAACACTACAACCTGCAAGTGGTGTTTCTGAATCACAGAATTATTAAGGCTGGAAAAGATCTCTAAGATCATCACATCCAACCCCAACCCACTCTCACCATGCTCACCAATCCCTATTCCTCATTGCCACATCCCCACAGTTCTTGAACACCTCCAGGGACTTTGACTTCACCACCTCTTTGAGCAGCCTGTGCCACTGCATCACTGCTCTTTCGGAGAAAAAGTGTTTCCTAATATCCAACCCAAAACTTCCCTGGCACAATTCAAGGCCATCATCTCTCACTAGTTTCCTGGGAGCAGAGGCTGATCCCAGCCTTGCCACAATCTTCTTTCAGACAGTTGTAGAGAGTGGTAAGGTTTCCCCTGAGCATCCTGCTCCCCAGACTGAACACTCCCAGTTCCCTCAGCTGCGCCCCCATCAGACTTGTGCTCCAGACCCTTCATGGTTTTGTTGCCCTTTTTTGAGGACACTCCAGGGCCTCAGGGCCTTCTTTGTAGTGAGGGGCCCAAGACCAAACACAATGCTTGTGGTGTGGTCTCACCAGAGCTGAATACAGAGGGTCAATCACCTCCCTGGTCACGCTGACTGCACTATACATTCTGCATGCTAGCATCCCCAAAGAAAAAGAAGGGAGTTGTGCAGCAACTTCATTCATCTTGAAGAATTACCAGTGTTCTTTGTCACCATTATAATGTCCTGGCTTCCCTAGCAATTGTTCTGCTTAAGCAATTATTTCTCAAATCTGTCTTCGGACTCACCAGCAAAATCACTGAGAGAGACCTCTTGTACACTGTGCAGAGCCCTGAGCATCCTAGGTCTGCCCAAGCAAACACATTCCTCCTTCAGTACTGCATGAAAGCAAGCAGGGGACATCCACCAGCTCTGCAGCAGAACAGGGTGCTTCCTTACCACCAAAGCACAGCCAGAACCCCTACATCAATGTGGTCACTATCACCTGTGGGACAGGCTCTGCCTTTAAAGCCTTGGCTCTGCTGCCCAAGCAGTGCTTCTGGTTTGTGGCTGAAGACTAAAAGCAGCCTCTCACCTCAGCAGAGCTGGGCGTCCTGTTGCTGCAGCCCTGCTTTGTTGATGGCATTTTATTATCCTTCTGAAAGAGCTCTAACAACAACACAACAACAAATTAACCAACGCACACTTTTTCTTGGAATCAGCTGTTTAACATTTGAGCACGATTCACCTCCCAGCACTTTATTTTGATGAGGACAAACCATCAGTGGATTTATCTTTATTAGTGAGGTACAAGACCTGCTTCTAAAGAAACATGGTGATATCCCAGTATGCTGCCTAGCTCCTTTCTGGTGCGAAGGAGCAATACAGTGTTGTAAAACAAGGAAAACTGTACAAGCACATATGGGAAAATGAAGTAATCATCTCCTGCCCAGCAGCTGTTGCTACTTCTATTTGCATTTGTCTATCAGTGAAAAACAGATTTCCATCTTAAATTCACTTTTTTTTTTTTTTTTTTTTTTTAAATCTTATTCTGGTGTGCTGTTCTTCCTCATGGAAAGTGAAAGCATGGCCAACTCCTCAAACCTTTAAAATCTATAAGAGTAGGTAGATACCAGTGGGCTGAGGAAGAGGATATCAGGAAGACAGCAACACTGTATTCAGCAAGAATTCCCTGAAAATAAACAGTAAAACAACCCACGGGATGCAGAGGTGAGCACACCAGCTAGTTACAGATGTAAATTACACACAGCCCTGAGTTCTGCTTCAAACCATATTTCAGCAGGAAGCTGCTCCTCCCAAAGCTTCAGCAAGGCACCTTCATCTGCAGGTGTCCACACTAAAAAACAACTCATTCCTTCTTAGGAGCAGCCTCCTTTGGTTTTGTCTGTGCTGCAAAAGTGGCTACATGGACATCCCCTACTTAGCTTGCATGCTGCTGCTGGTGTGGCTGTGACAAGGGGTGCAATTCTGCAGCTGCCAAGAAAGACTGTACTGAACAATGCTACATCACCTCAAGTCCTAGTGCTGCCTACTGCACAGGCAACCAAGAGGGGTGGGCATGTCATGGAACATCCTTCAGACATCTGCAGTCACCTGCACTTAATGTGGTAGATGGGGAAATGGATTGTACTATGGAGTTCTAGCTATGGCCAGAAGAGATCATAGAATCATCATAGGATCCATTTAGCTTGGAGAAAATCTTCAAAATCACCAAGCCCAACCATCAGCCTAACCTACTGAGTCCCATCACTAAACTATGTGCCTTCATGCCACGTCCTCACATCTGTTAAACACCTCCACAGACAGGGACTCCAGCACTTTACTTGGGCAGCCTGTTCCAGTGCTTGACTATCCTTTAGGTAAAAACTATCCTTTAGGCAAAGAAATTATTTCTACTGTTCAACCTAAACCTCCCCTGGCACAACTTGAGGCCATTGCCTCAATCCTATCACTTGCCACTTGAGAGAAGAGACTGACCCCCATCTTGCCACAACCTCCTTTCAGGCAGGTGTAGAGGGCAATGAGCTCTCCCCTCAACCTTCTCTTCTCCAGACTAAACTGCTCCAATTCCCTCAGCCACTCCTCACACGTTTTGTTTTCCAGTTCCCTCACCTGCTTGGTTGCTTTTTTCTGCATGTGCAACTCAGAGTCTTATAGTGAGAGGTCCAAACCGAACACAGTACTCTAAGGTGAGGCCTCACCAGTTAAGTTCAGAGCGAAGGTCACTTCCCTTGTCCTGCTGGCCATGGTATTCCTGATGCAGGTCAGGAACCACTGGCCTTCTTGCCCACCCGGGGACACTGCTGGCTCACGTTCAGCCACCATTAACCAGCATCCCCAGGTCCCTTTCTGCTGGGCTGCTTGCCAGGGCGCTCTTCTTTGAGCCTACACTCAATCCCCTCAACCGGACTGCTGATAAAAATATTAAACAAAACTAGCTCCAAGCCAGAGCCCTGGGGAATGCTGGTAGTGACTAGCCACCAAATGGCTTGAGTTCCATCCAGCATGACTCTGCTGAGCCCAGCCATCCAGACAGATTGCTTTCCACAGTCATATCCCCAGCACAACTCAGTCCAATCCAGCCTTCCTGACCCAAGCTTTGGTGACAGTGGTTAAAATAATAACTAGACAACGTAAACTCTTGCAGTTGTGGGTGCAACTGTTGTGGTTTCTTCCTATACCTCCTGCATGACTTGTGCAGTTGCAAACACACAGGCATAAACTTGGTTACAGAGCAGCACAGGTACTGAGGAATCAAGAACTACGTGTCAAGTCAGTTTGTTAAACCCATTCTGTTCTTTTCTTCTGAGGACTAAAGGGAACATTTTGCATTTTTTAAGGTGATGCCTTAACTAAACAGATATCATACATCTATTCTGTTCATCAGCAAGTTTAGATATTTCTACACAGCTACACTGGCAACAATATCAACTTGTGCTTAATTTTTTTAGCAAATGGGTGAAGTGCCATCTGTGCAGCACTCTTCTGACTCGTTCCTCATTCCCTTGCAGTTACTGCCCAGCCACCTATACCAAACACCCAACTTTTAGGCACTACTGTGGCTATATGCCACACACAACAAAAATTTGCTGCCTTTCTGTCTCAGTTTTGTGGTAACCAATAAAAACCTCAAACTGACAGACAGTCCCCAGTGTAGAGATGCAGAGCTTCCAAACTGGTTTTCTACAGAACTACTCAGTCTTAAAGTAGGTCATATTTGATGTGTCTGCTAAATGCTTTGCTGGAAAATAACAAGACTTCTTTTACAGTTTGAAACCAATCTTATGGATTTATGCTTAATACACATGTCACTAATATAATAAGCATGCATTCTATTAAATGAGTTTTGTGTTCTTTTGTAACCTAGCAGACCCTCCAGAAAAGGCCTATATAGAAAATAAATCCAAATCACCTGAGGTTTAGAATACACTTGTGACTAGCAAAAGCAGCACAGCAGAAAGAAAGAAAATTCATAGTTACCTTTGAGAGATCGGCCATTATTCTGTTTAAGTACTGAAGATAAGTAGTGAGGAGAAGATGACCTACTGGAAAGAAATTCAACAAGTCAAACGAAACCTCAATTAACCAAATAATGTATACAAAGTGTATTAGACACAATATTATCATCATAGAAAAATTAGAACACCCAAAAGACACCACAGTTTGGCTGATAAACCAAACAGGCAGCAATTTCTATTGCCTCAGTGGAGTACTGGACACATTGATTATTACACATTGTTTATATAACACAGTGAAGCATCATCATCATTTGGGAAACACCACACACAGAGGAGAAGCCTTGCTGGCAATGCAGACTTCACTTACTGAAATGTACCTTTGCTTAATACTACATGTGAGCAAAATGGTACCTGATGCAGAGACACTCAGAATCTGGGAGAAGCAGCACTGGTAAGAACCAGTTGTGTTTGTTTCTTTTGCAAATGATGAAAGATTAGCAAAAATAGAAGATGCTTTGTGCAAAAAGCTGGGAAAGGACAAGAGCAATCTGCTGATTCCCAAGTCATCTGAAGCTGGGCTGCTCTGTGGATGACATCTGCATTTTGCATTACCTTAGCAGCTTCCATCTGGCAAAGTACCACTTAATACACTGCAGAATACAAGTTGTGCTATACACCCAACCCTAATTATTCCCTTCATTACAAATGCACTGTCAAACAAATAAATAGAACAGTAACAATACACAACTTTTAAAATGGCATGAATCACAGCAATAAAATTTTTTAAACTTCTTTTACCTGTACAGTAATTGGGCAATAAAGAGACCAGTCCAATCTATAAAAGCTACCTCACAAGATTCATGGTATAATTTTATCATTAAGGCATGTTTACATCTTATACTGGTTCTTAAAAATAAAGCTGCCTAGCAAAGATATCTCCTCCTCTCCACTTGCCTCCCCCCCAGCACAAAGCTGCTAAGTATTTAATCATATAGATTTTTAATTATTGGTCTAGTTCATTAAATAAAACCAAACCAACTGCATAAATTATTAAAATACCCTTTTAAAACTAGAATATTCCCTCTTTAAGCTGAATCGTGCTGCTGTGGCTGCAAACTCCTTTCCCACCCTGCATCAGCTGCTATGGGGGATGCCCTTCAGTGCTGCTGCTGCCCAGATTTGCCATCACCACCGTGCCCAATCTCAGCTTGTCAATGGTGACGGCTCCAAAGGTTGGTGCAGTGCAGACTGCTAAAGACAAGGAGAAAGGTGCACAAACTGAAAAGCAAGGTGACTTGAAACGCATCATCTGAGACAAATAAAGAGTTCCTGCTGTGCTGCAGCTTGCCTGGCACTGGAAACCAAAGTTCCTGAAAAGGACAGCAATATTTAGCATCTCCCAGTGAAGTAGGCACAGGAAGAAAGATTCAGCATAGCTGAGTGCAAACACACACAAAAGCCAAGTTCGCTGCTGGTATGTTTTCTTGTGGGGGCGATGGAGTGCAAAGGGAACAGATCCAAAAACAGAATTGAAAAAAATCACAGGGTGAGCAATGGACTCAACCTAACATGGGTCACTCCCAGGTAAAGTGCACAAATAGATGCTGAACTTCTTCATCTTTTCGTTCAAGCCCAGATCCTTCAAGATGCACTTAGACCTTCCCCACAGTAAATGAACGCTTAGTATTAAGACAGCCTATGCGTATGCACAAGGCATTTGTGAGATGAGGGCTGTGGAGACTGCCAGAATCAGGTGCTAGGAACAGAAGGCAGCCAGGCAACCTGCACCAACCTGCTGAACAACCTGCACAGAAATAAAATGCATCTCTGATGCTCATCACCTACTACAATACAATTCAGTTTGCTAGACACAAATTACAGCTTTGGAAAGCTTCTGATCAAAGCGACACTTTAAACTGTATTTCACAATGCTGCTGAGTTACAGGTGAACACAGTCAAAAAAAAAAATCACAAACAGAAGCCCATCCACTGAAAAATTCAGGTATCGCCCTGGAGTTGAGTTTGGATGGTTCAGTCCAGCTCTGCCCAGCAGTACCTCAGGGCTTACTCTTTCCCTCTACACACAGGGCAGTGCCTTGTGGCCCTTCCTCAGAATTAAGCCACAATTTAAATCTCAATTCAAGAATTTTTAAGCACTGAAGAGAGAAGAAAAATACATATGTTTTTCTACCTATGAGTGAAAGTCTTAGAAATGTATTTTTAGTAGTAATTTTTAAAAAAGCTACAATTAGGGAGAAGTTGAGCATCTTAAACTGCTGTTTCTATCTTACTATTCTTACAGATACAAGCACTATAAAACTCTTCATATTTTGAAGGCAGTGGGAGTTTTGCCACTTGCCTGTATTTCCTTGTAATTGCAACTGCTGGCAAGTGTCACTAATCCTTCAATGAAGGCAACCAGTTACCAAAACCAGCAGCTTCAAACTGAATCTTGGTCCTGCAGGCACTTCAGAATACTTCCCTACACCTAACTTGACTGCACTGTATTTATACAAACAAAATTAATCACGTTAAGGCTTGTATCATCAGACTGACTTGAAGAACTTGGAGAAACTGAAAAACATAACTGGACAAGGCTCTGAAGAACCTGCCCTGGCCCAGGTCAGACTCCTTCCCTGCCCCTTTGGCACACAGACAACACCCTGAGGTCCTGTTTCATCTGCACCACTCCTACAGCTACAGCTCGCACAGGGTGTGGGATCCCAAGGTCAGTGTCCTGTGAGACTCTTAGAAAGTTCTGCTAAATATTCAGTATCGGTTTCACAGATTGTGTCTGCAATCCCAGTTCCTCCTGGTTGTTAAGGAAACTCCTTGCAGTAAGGCAAGGCATAGGGCAATGTACAGACATCATAATTACCTCTTATCTCACCCCAATTGTTCGCCAATCTAGATAAACCAGCCACATGCCTACATAACTCCTGATCCCATCAGCAGCTGTGCATTCCTAGCTACTTTCCATCCTCCTACTCTCTGTGCCACCTCTAAGTGCTCACTCTGACTGATGCTCCTCTTCCTGTACCAGGAACACACTATGATGTTTACTTGCAACTCTCCAAAATTTATTGCCTAATCTTAAAATGTATCAGATGAGGAAGCCTCACTGAGCGTCCTCTGAGGTGGAATCTGCTAGTGGGAAAGACTGTTCTTCTCATCCCCACCACAAAATGTTTCTAACAGCCTCAGAGAAAAATGCTCCTCTCTTAGACCAGCTTTTCCAGGCATTTCAGACCATAGAGAAGTTGACTGTTCTTAACAGCAGCATATGATATATATATTTTATATCCAAATGCAGTGATTTATGAGAACACATGCTCCCTTTCCAGGGAGCATCACCAGATACGTCCCAGATGGTCCAGGTGACCTGTGCTCAAAGCAGGATTTTGCTGCAGTTAGGGCCTCTGCCTGCTCTCCAAAGAAATGGCTCTCATGAGCACCCCATCAGCCCAGCCTCATGTCACCTCTTGGAAACCAGTGAGAAAAGCAGTGGCTGTCTGCAAAGCCCCACAACAAAGGCAGCATAAGCCTCAGCACTAATTGCTCGCCTGGGTTATTCCAGCCAGGACCCCTAGCAAGACACAATAAGAAAGGGAAAAAAAAGAAAGAGGTAGAAGAAAGAAGAGAGAATATTTAAGAGAAAGCACTTCTTCAGATCATTAGCGACCCCAGATCTACTATCTGGGAAGCCTGAGCTCGTGACCTCTTTCTCACTTGTGACAGCACCTCTCTGGTCCTGTCTAGCCAGTCTTCCTGGCCTGTCTGCACAGCTCACCAAAGTCCCACTCAAATTCTTCTCCTAGTAGAAGTCAGTCATCCACAACTGCTCAGGTATTTCCTGTGGTAGGTGGGTGAACATAACTGCATGTTGCACTTGCATGAGAAGATTCACCTACCTTGGTGGTGATGCCGGTGGAGTGTAGAATGCAAGTGCTGAAGGAAATGGCTGCTTTTTCAGTGCTTGAACGAGATTAGGCTTATATTCTGGATCGACACACCACAAGGAACCTTTTCCATTCACCTGCAAAAAAGAAGTACAAAAAAGATGCTACAGAATTGGTAACGCACACAGCAGAAGGGAGGGCTGGCTCAGCACCTGGATAGGACTACAGTTCTATGGGATGAGGGATGTGTACCTCCTCTGTTACCCTCCACTCCTGCAGTACCGCAGAGCTAGCGGCACATGCAAGAAAACAATGCGCTCCAACTAAAATGGGTGAAACTATTAGAAGATGGAAGTGGTCCTGTCAAGGCACAGAGAAAAGTCTCAAAGCAAACCTCAAAGTTTGGTGGAATACCTCCTGCATGCCCACGGAGGCCACCAGGCCATCTTCACCCGGTGATGAAGTGGAATGCAATTTTACAGATGGATACTCCATGACTTCAAAAGACTCATAAGCCATACAAGTTTGAGGTCCTACATTAGTCACTGGACTTCTCAGAAAGAGTGGAAATATTTTGCTATTAATCAATGGTGAAAGGGAATCAAATCAGGGAGAGTTTCTGCCTGAAAAATCAAGAGAGGTACTGCTCTGTAATTTTAGTTGAAGCCACAGTCCTTCATACAGATGTCTCACAGCATCTCTCAGTTATTTATTTTTTTAACCTAAAGCTTTCTTACATCAATCTCTTTGTGCTAAAAACGAGCACAGCCTGAGAAGCACATGATAGGTATCAACAAGCTTACCCTTAATGAAGCAGATAACCCCTGCTCCGTGATGGCTGACAGGAGGCTGTAGCAGGCTGGCCAGTAACAGGGGGATCCTCTCAGCTGGCTCCATCCACCTTCTCTGCACCAGACTAATGCTCTCATCAATTTCTGCATCTCTCCTGGAGCTCAGCACTTGCCCTGGCCTGCACAGTGGCTCACTGGTTGTCCCCCATAAGAGGCCAAAACCTGGCTTTTGTTTCCTTTCAGAGCCTTGAGGCTCTTCCATTCACAAAGTTCTGGGATCTCAACCCACCGCTCTGCACTACTTTATCTATTACCTTAGGCAAGCACTTCTACTTCTGGGTTAGTATGAAAACATATAGCTGTGCACCACTATTTACCCTCAAAGCAGACATTCAGCAAAAAAGATGACCCAGTGCCTGTAAAACTGCTTCTAGTCCACCACTGCACTTGGAGCTACTGCTTAACAAAAATAGCAAGAAGAAAGCCCACAGTTGTCAAGTCAGTGCCATGCTTCTACAGGAAGCAAAAATGCAGGTGGAAATCCCATAAAGTTTTCAGAAGGCCAGCGATGCTTGGTAAGGATGCAGTCCTGCCTCCTCACAACTTGACTCCCGCTGGTGGCAGTTAATAAAAAATAAATATTAAAAACCCCCAAGCCCACAGCCATGGAATAGTTTAGCAAAGAGCAGTTGCCTGACATCTCAAAGCAGTTACTTGCCCTTCATCACTCTTCACCTCACTAAATTATGTAACTGCCAGCATGCAAAAGCACACAGTTTTCAAATAACTGTCAGTAAGGGCAGAGGAAGAAATTTTCATTCCCCCCTCCTACAAAGCCCAAGGCCATACATACTGCCACTGCTCCACTGCACTGTGAGAGGGCTCACAGAAGAACAGAAACACGTCCCTGGTGAACCAAACAGGCTGCAACCCAGAGCCCCACATCCCTTGCTTGCTGCCCTTTAACCATACAACTTTCCATATCGACTCTACCACCTTCCCTGCTTACAGGGAAAAAAAACAAAAACCAGAAAAACAACAAAAAAACAGAATACATTTACATGAATGCAACCTTTGACTTCTCTTCACCTACTCAGAACTCAGTGGATTCGCTAAGGAAGGAAAGGAGTGGGCAGTTCCTGCTGCCCTTATGCCAAGACATTTGGTGCAACTCCCATGCACACCATGAGGCTTCCAGATCTGGAGCAGATGAGCTGTAACATGCAGATCCACAAAGCAGCAAGCTGTAGACCAGTTTCCAAGACTTCCCTACCCTCACTCTTTTGAGCTTCACATCTCTTCTCCCAAAGGTGCCCACTCATTTAAAGTAGGCACACTGAGAACCAGCATCCAGTCCTGCAGTACAACCCAGCTCTTCCTGACATCTGCTGAACTCCAGGCTGCACAGCAAGGACCTCCATCTCCATCGAGATGCCAGACACGCACTACGTGGACTTCTGATAACAAGCCTGCTACCACTTGTGCTGAAGTCCAACCACGTGGTTTCAGGTTTTGTTTACTGACTTTGGGGTGAGGGCAAGTGTTGTTTCACTTTGTTTTGGAAGCCGGAGCAGACTCTTTGAGAAACACAATGGGAAATGAGAGAGGGAGGATGGAAGTCAGCAATAAAATCATTTGAGCCAGTAAGCCATCTATACAGAAGTATCCTTGACTTTAAGAAGTGGATCTTTACACGCAGCTTGTCTCGAGAAGGCTTTTTCATAGAAACATGCAGAGTTATAACAATACTGTTATTGCAGAGGTTAAAAAACTACAATACATTAAATGCAGGAATTAAGAAGGTCTTTTGAATGCTAGAGCTGTGCCAAGAGACCACAAGTGAAAGGTCAGTTTTATATTCAAGGCAACTTTCAGTTAGTTTGACCCATTTTTTTCCTGATAAGATTCCCTACCACTGTGATGCCTTGTGTTCTACAGCACATGTGTCTCCCAGTTACTTTCATTCCTGCTGGCAGAGTACATGTGCATCTTCAGAAAGGTGTGGAGGTGGGAAGGGGACAATAAGTGTCCTCAGGCTCCCCAGCTTGGCACCTCACACCAACAGCAACATCACCCCTACTGCCATGGCACACAGCAACACACTCACTGTAAGTACAAACTGCAGTGTCACCTGCCAGGCTGCCAAAGTCACCTAGAGGGGCAGAGCTCCAACAACAGTCACCTGTAACGGGTTCCCTAATGATATATCCTTCCTAGCCATGAGGATGTCCTTTGCCAATTCCAAACCCTACACGTGACACTGTTCCGAAAATTAGCATTGGCAAAAACTTAAATAATTGCCCTCAAATTAGTTCCATTAGAAGAAAAACAAAACAGAGCACACACACCAGAAAACAAAGAATCGCTCCACAAGACATCCTGAAATAGATGTCTAATATCTTTGGCTGAGTACTACAGCCTAGCAAAATTCTAAGTGGAAATAAAGCCCTTTACAATATGGTTCGTAAGGAATGTATTGCAGGTGGCTCTAACCAGCTGAGTATTAAACACAAACACAGGATCAATTAAGGCACTTAAACACTTGTCAGAAGTGGCATTTCCAAAATACCAACAGTTGTGAATAACGTGTTAAAGGATTTCAACACACAACTGCTTCACACATGGCGAGGGGAAGAAGCCCTTGAGAACAACAGGGTCTTCTTAATTCCCTTGTGAATTACAAAGCTTATTTAACTCCCTCCCCATGACCTCACCTTGCCATGGCTTCGCTCCACCTTCCGGAAACATTTATTCAAGGAGAGGTTGTGTCGCACAGAGTTCTTCCATCCTGTTGGTGCTGTGGCGAAATAGGGGAAGCGTTCCAGGATCCAGCTGTAGATTTCTTTGACTGGGAGGCTCTTGTTGGGAGAATGCTCAATAGCCATATAGATGAGGAGGCTGAAAGAATAAGGAGGCTTGGAAGTAGAAGATTTTTTTTCTGGATTCTGGTAGCAGGAGGGTGAGAAGGATGGCACGCTGTCACCCTCAATGTCATATAAAGGGCTAACAATTGGAAGACCCTCACTTCCAAGGCTGAAGTTTGTTAGAAGATTAGTACTTTCATGCAGCCAGTTCAAGTTTGTGAGCTCATCGTCTGCTGAATCACTGTCCACTACAGTGGCCTTAGGCCTCCCAGCATCTCCTGCATCAGGCAGGCTTCCCATCCTGTGTGACTGTCTTAGACCTGCAGCTTTTTCTGCTCCTGGAGTTTTAGCTTTCTTATCCGGAGTCATTCCAGTGACTGGACCCATTTGGTTTGATTGGTCTGCAACAAAGGAGACAGAAATCAATGCAAAACTTCAAAATCATATTGAGTGGCAGCATGCCAAGCCAAAGAAGCTCCAGGGGACCATGACACTGTACCATCCACGTACTGTTGTCACCGAGGAGAGCCAGGCCCAGCACAGCTCCTCCAGTAACCTCATAATGGCCTTTTAACTTCCCTATGGCTACAGCACACAGTAAACAAGTGGAAATTGCTCTACTTCTCTTGAAAAGTCAATTGAGACACAGAAATAATAGAGATGACATCAACATCTGAAAAAGACTTCATCAGGTAGGACCTAAAACACACTCTTCTCACATTAAGTCTTTAATGATACTCATCGTATCGTAAATTAATCCTATTTAGAAGTGTTTGCTTTTGGTTCCTAAAGAGGGAAAAATAAGTCACAAAACTTAAATAGCGTAAAGTGAATTCATGGTCTTGGTGCAAATGGAGCCTTTACAACCCCCTGCAAGTCACAAGCACTCCCTCCCACTGGGGAGGTTGAAGCAGGCCAGCCAGCGAACTGTGAGCTGAGCAGCTGCCTTTTCTGCTGATGTAGTCACATTAGAGCCTCGCTGCACCTAAACTTTGGCCAACATAGCTGTGTCAGAAGCACAGCCCAACAAAACCACTTTACAGATGTAGCTTGCTATAAATGCAAGGCTATCCACTCCAGATGCAAGTCCACCAGCAAAGCTGTTGATCACATGAACTGTAAGAAGTAAAATCCATAAAAATCTGATTGACTTCCCTGTCCCTGTACACAAGCTATCATTCTGGTTTCATGCTCTAGCACCTACTGCAATGGCTCAATTGTAAACCAGACAACAGATGAGGATGGTTATCTCATCAGACAGTGTGATACAAGTTACTGGATGGCTTTTTTTGGAGCAGTTTTTGTAGTATTTGCTATGAACACATGGCTTAGTACACTCGTGTCTCTGCAGAGACAGCAGGAACAAGGACCTGCTCCACCTTTGTATAAGAGCAAACCATTTAAATGAAGTCTACTGCTACTAAGATTTTAGACAGAAATTATCAGGTTACACAGAATTCACTCCTTCCCCAGACAACGCATCAAGCAATTTCTTCTCTTCATCTACTTGTACTTTTTCCTGCCAACTCTTGCAAAGCTCCCCTTGTAAATCCCAGTCCCCTCTTCTCAAAGGATCGTGCAACCTGGAGCAGCTGAACACCCGGACTCACACATGCAATCTGCCCAGCACACAGTGGACCAATTTCTCCACCTTCTCCAGCAAACAAAAGCAGTACTTACCTGCACCAGTACTGGAAATCGTCCCCAAATTTTCAATCTATGTGCAAGGACAGGCATGATTAACTATTGGCTCAGCCATTAACTAAATCAAAGGAAAGCAAACCGCTCACATAGCTGGTCAAAAGTAATTCTGCTATGCCTACAAATTACTTCTCCAAACTATCAGAGCAGATTTACACTGGCAGCTGATGAATGTTGGCTTTAAAACAGAGCCATTTATATTGTTGATAATTAATATTCGACATACAATTCTTTGCAAACAATATATTTATAGTACATTAGCATATATTATTTAATGTTAATACATATAATAACATATAAATATAAAATGATGATATGCCATGTTTTTCTGAGTAGATGCATTACAGAAAGTAATATGTGTACGTTTGGTGGCCCTGCTAGGCAGGGGGGTTGGAACTACATGATCCTTGAGGTCCCTTCCAACCCGGGTGATTCTGTGATTCTGTGTGTGATTCTGTGATCCTCCATAGTTCTTGTTTACCACTTTATACATCTTCTACACAAACACATCTGCAGAAGTTACATACTTTTTAGAAGGTTATAAAGGCCATTATTAGACTATTATGGTCTGATCAATATTGGTGGAGAGGAAAATCAGTTCCCTAACTACTGCAGTCTTCAAAGGTGGCCTTAAATGTAAGCATTGTATGACTGCTGCTGGGAGCAGGAAGAGCTTTGGGGACAGGATTGATCCTGGGGGAGTATCACAGGACAGCAGTCCAGCAAACAGCATGGAAGAAGCCCCGCAGAGCAGATGCTGTGACAGAACTGTATACAATTGGACCTCAGTGTTTTTCCTCACGTTTCTCTCTGCTGTCAGCTGGGAAGGTTGATGCAAACAAGGTCAGAGGCAGCCAGTAGGACTTGCTCTCTACCATGCTCCCAACCAAGCTGAATTAGCAGTACCAATACAAAACAGGAGAGGCCACTTCCCAGTCTCTCCAGTTGGAGAACCAAATACTCAGAAACTCACTCCTATTCCCATGGTGACAGCCCCAGCCCTGCCAGCAGTGCTAGAACCTCCAGGCTTCCAAATGCAGGAATAACACTTCGACTGCATCTCTGAAAACATGAAGCAGTGCACACTGAGTCTGCTTCACAGTAATGCAACGTGCTGCCATCAACATCAGCACTTGCAACAGAATGCAGAAATACTAAAGGCATCACACATGCAAACCCCAGCCAACTCAAGCATCTATCTTCAATGAGCACCTCAAAAACAAAGTACTGCAATGGAGAAGGCTGTAGATGTATTCATGCAGGACAGAAGCTCCAACATACCAGGAAGATGTTCAGTGTCACGAGACACTGCACACGGTGCTGTTGCTGAATAAACCACTCCACACCACTCAATAATCACCAGTTCATCAGAATCCAATGAGTTGCTAGCTGATGTGAGATCATATTACGTACCAGAGACAAAATTTTAGCCACGCACATACAGACTGAGTGCTTGTAGCAAACCTGGAGGCTGAGCACTGGCACCTGCAGCCTCTACCCACCACTGCAGTTTGCACACAGAACAAGCAGGGAGGTTGCCCATTTCTTTTCTGAGCAATGTATTCAGCTGGAAAATCCTTGGCAAGCCCAATGCCAAGTTCAAGGAAAACCTGTCTCTTCTAAACACAGAGGACATTCCTCTGCATGGCTCTGCACTCCCGGTGTTCATTCATGGTGTTAATGCTCCACTTCAGACCTGGATTCTGCTTCCACCTGGAAGCACAGCATCACCTGGTTTGAGATTGCTGCTATTCTGGAGAGACAGGGCATAAATTTATTTATCATAAGAGAGAAGAAAAAAAAAATAATAAATAAATCAACATTTCTATTAAAAAAAAAAAATGGTGGTTGCTTTTGCAGTCTTCTTTTGAACTCACTAAAGAACTCAGTTTGTGAAAATCTTTGGGGGCTGAAAGATACTCAGTGTAGCACATTACTCTGTGGTTATGCCAGGTCTGTACATCTCCATACATATATATATTGCAGCTATTACTTCATTCTGATGAAAGACACTGAGCCCTGCTATGTTCTTTACCACAGAAATGAATATTTGTGAGTGTTACAAAAACAAAAGTTCTTTAATTTCTGGCATACAGCACGTGCATGTACTCATACAAACCACAACATGTTATGGCCTTAAGCAAAGTCACAGTACTGCTGCCACAGCATTTATTGTGTGATCCCCAGGCAAGCTGACACAACTCAATTCCTCTTACCTCCTGTTCCCCTTTCCTCTCCCATTCTTGTGTCCAAGCATAAAATCCTGCCCCATAACACCTCCAACATGCCAGAGCTTCACCAAGCAGGTGAGACAGAGGAAATCTTCCAAACACTCCCCTTGGGACAGCTTTCTGCTCTTTTACCAAGTGCCTAACACAAGGCACAGTTTTGCTAACAGTCTCAGATCCAGCAGACTCCAGCTTCCCTATGTGACACGGAGCCCTCCCTGAACCAGCAGCATCGCAGGTAACAACGCACAGTCATTGTTTTAACTCTGTAACTGCAACAGGCAACGCATGGCTCGACTTCCAACCAGAGAAAAAGCATTCAGCCTTTTGTTAAACAAACCAACCAACCTTTTCTGCATAGCATTGTGTGGGCAGGGCTGCTACTTAACTCTTCTTCACTTTCCAGCTCAGTGCACGGCAGCCCGAGATGAAAGCTGCCATAAAGCACCCGCGATGCCCCAGGTTGCAACAACCTTCTCCAAACACGACCACTTGTTTCTGCAGGACCAGCCAAGCAACCAAGTGACCTCAATAGCTATTTGGGAAGACCTGGAACCTGCTAACAGCGTAGTAATTTCTCTCAAAAGTTAAAAATAGACCATGCATGCAGTGTCTAAGGAGCAGCACATGGCTTTAATCCAGGAGGTTTTTAATGGTATCACACTGCCATCACATGAGGGCAGCTCTGTCACCATATTCTCAGGGTGTGCAGCCTCAGTTACAGCAGTGAAGTATTTGTGCAGTCAGCACACAGGTCTGTACCCACGTACACAGGCTCTGGGACAGTATTTAAAACATCCATACGTGCTTTTGTATACCAGCAGCTATACTGGTGTCAAACTGTTCTATTGATTTTTTTGTATTTGCTTGCATTTATGGGAGCTGCATCTACACCAGGGATTGTCCTGACTTAAATACATCAATGCATATACTCTATCATTAGAACGGGACAAGAAGTACACGCATGGCTGCCACCACTCACTCACGTTTGCAACAACCCTTTAAGCCAGCACACACACAGCAAAAGACCAATGGCAAGTGTTTTGTGCATCAAATGGAGATGTAACAGAGCTCCTCTCACAGCTAGTGAAAACCCATGGAGAAAAAGCTGGAAGTGCTGAAGGTACAACAACCGCACGGCTGCAAGCATCCAGAGCCCAGCACCGGACCACTTTCCCTGCACTGAACCTTCTCTGCTCTCCTTTGTCTCAGGCTCCCCCCACAGCACCAACCACAGGCTGGGGCTCAGATTCAAATCCCCACAGCACTGCAAACGGCCTATATTTGATTACGAGGCCGCGTGATGTCACGTATCCAAGACAACTAAAGCACCACAGTCTCCTGAGGACAAAACCACCTCTTGGTCGCAGATCTGAGCAACCTGGCAGGCAACCAATGCCTTGTCTCCAGACCAGGCTGCCATGCTCGCCAGCAACACGGGGCACAAGCACCTCCTGCCTCACAAACCATGA